AAAATTGACATCAAAGTTGTGGGAAAACATCGGTTTAAACAGATATAATTGAAACAAAAATGTAATTGAAATAAACGGTCTTAAGGGCCGATAAATATTATAAGATAATTGTCTTCAATCTTACGTGTAAAGAAAGTGCCAAAGTCTCAATTGCAAATTGTTCCTCATGACCTGCTTTCTTCAGAGCTTCAAAAGCATCTGTCCATTGATTGTCGTATAATTCACAGTATACTTCACCGAGCTTAGTCGGTCTGTTCGGATCGCTCAAATCAACATCACTATATCAAAAGAAAAATAACGAATGTAAATTTGACAATAAATTGTACACTTGTCTTTAATAGGCGTTTGTAGAAACAACATTCCCTAGATGGATTGGATCAACGTTCATTTGAGCATATATTCTTATTGATATTAACATATAAAAGAACACTAAAGAAATTTCAATAAATGTCGATGAAAGAATATTTTAAAATTGATAGTGCAGTACATGTATACCAAATATCATACTTTGTTGATATTTTCTTTAGAAGATGTTCTATTGTTCTGCTTTGTTCATTGATTTTCTCCTCAGCCCTTTGTAGATTATTGAAGAGAGTATCATTATTTTTTGTCATTTGGGTTAGTTGTGCTTGTATTTGACGAGTTGTTTCCTCACAGCATGATCGTAACTTTGTTGTGTTAGCATGACTTTTGTTGCGTTTGTATGTTGACTGCTAAATTAACATTTAGAAATTTTCACATTATTGGCATTTTCATGCAAAAAAGAAGAAGTATTACTATTTAACCTTACAAATTCGATAATAAGCCTGTCTCGATAATATGCTACCATTTTCTCAATGTCAAAATGAAATTAAAATTTAGCCGTCTGAAATGAGATTCTAGCTATTGTATTACCCAATAACTGATTCGTAATTTTGACGCATTGATAATTGATTTTTATTAATACTTTACTGAATTTAAAAACTACATTGTATATAAATGTCATGAAAATGAATTGTTTTAAATCACCAAAAAGACTCAAAGTTTATCGTTTACAAGAAAACTGACAGTGCTTTTGTTAATGAATAGCTGTCATGTTAATATTTGGAATGATTAATTGCTGCTGCATATAAGTGAAAAACGAAAAAAGATAAGTACGTACTATCAAAGTGCCAATATTTGTCCATCTCTTCTCTGTTTCATCCATTTGGTGTACGAGATATTCTGGTACCCAACTTGTGTCCTTTGTGTCCCAACTTTCTTTGAGATTTTTAATGTTATCATCCCACTTCCTTACCTCATCTTCGAAAAATTTAAGAGCGTCTTCTATGTTCGCTTTATGTGACGATTGTTTAACACCCATTATCAATTTATTTATTTCTACTGTCAGTAGCAAGAGTTCAAAACTATATATGGGCAACAACAAAAAAACATACACCACATAAACACAAAAATAAAGTTGGTGTCCACAGGATCTACACAAGAAATAGAAATGAGCATTAAGTACCAAATTAAAAAAAATACATGACAGCAAACCGGCTAACAAAGTGTTATTACTTCCGATATTAATCAAGGATTACAAATTCTTTTGAACACCAAAAGGAATCGGCCTTTCATTATTTGGTATAATCTAAATTAAAACGTATTCATTTTTCAAATTGTAACAATTTTACCGTCCATTTTTTATTTTCAATGTCCATGCCCCCTCTTTGCATTTTTCCAAACATTTCAATCACTATGACATACATATTTATATTTACAGGAACTAAATTATATATGAAAAAGAGTTAAGTAGATAATTTCAATTAGCTTCAGCAGTCGTGGAAAAAATTTATCAATGTGACGATTGACGTTTAATGGAAATTGTTACTGGTGACGAAACTTGGATTTATCATTTAAAGCTAGAAAGCAAAGAAAAAATGGGTAGGTTCATGTGGGCTATCGCACGAAGAAATAAGACGGTTAGGAAGACAATGTTCGCTATTGTCGGTGATTGGCAAGCTCCAGTACGTCAGGTTCCTGTCACGAACGGTTCGTCCATTACAGGAAAGTTTTACAAGGAACTGATTCTTGAAATGGTCGTTAAAGTTTATACAGACCGCCTAGACACAGGCACACGTGGCCTTAATCTATTCTACGACAATGCGCCGTTCATAAATCGGCTACTGTAACCAGCCTTTTTGCAGGAAATCAATCCTTAAGTCATTGACCATCCACCTTATAATCCTGACCTTGCCCCTTGTGTCTTTTGGTTGTTTCCAAAGTTTAAAGAAATGCTGGAAGTCGTCATTATGAATCAAGAACTAGTATTGGCTGTAGCGTTAATTAATGTATGCGACATATACTTGCTTCAGATTATCGTGTCACTTTACACTAATAGATAGAACAATGTAAATGGGTAAATTCTACAAAGGGGGAACTTACGTCAAATGACTGGCAGAAAAACGAATTTTTAACACTTTCAGTAAGATCTGTAAGGCTGTTTTATGAGTTAATAATGAAATGTCCATCGTGGTAAACAGTAACAAATGTCAAAAGCAGACCATATATTCCTTATTTCTATATCATAGTCATAGATCGATAGGTAATTAAGTTTGTGATGTGGCATTTCCAGTCATTTTGGAACTGTGAAGCGAACCAGTTTATAACTATATGTATTTAATAAGTTAACTTATCATAAGAAAGCTCTCTTATAAAACATAAGAGCAAGGTCATATCATTTGTTCATTTTACCTACTTAATGGAGACATTTAAAAACATTGTTTATCCACTGCATAAGAAGGTGAAGGTTCACGAGGTAAAACATGCCATTACGTACAATAACTTGCTTTAATAAATTGTCGGGGGCTGCGTTCTGTGAACGTTCCCTTTGCCTTGTTGATCGATATTTATTCTTCTTTTCTAAGTGACGATGAAGAATTTAGCAATTAATTTTGTGTTATTTCGAATTAGATTTCGGCGTGTGCTCTTTAATTTTTCAGAAAACAACATTTCGTTTTATCTAAATTATGTACTTAAGTATTTCCCAATAATTGTTCATAATACAACTGATTGGGAAAAGAAAACAGTCAATTTTTGAAATCGAAAGGACACAAACGAGTTTTAAAATGGATGACTTAAGACAACGATCTATTAAACAAAATACAAAAAATACAAACCTGGTGAAGTATACACATATATATTTAAGTCTTGTTTAAGAAAAAAGTCCACTTGTTTTCTTCGTTTAAATACGCAGAAATAAGATGTAATAAATTTCCTCCTTTTGATGTATCTATAAATTTTATACAACCAAATCATATATCAAAACTTTTAATACAATAGTTTTATTCCATACAATAATTATTGCTGGACGAAATCCAAAATTTTAACATAAAACTATTAGTATTAACCTAACGCAGAAATCAATCCTTGTAACTTAATATTCTAGCATTTTACATCGGTGTATTTCATACTTAAAAAACCTTAAACCACTTTGTTTATAGTTCAAAACAAAAAACTTTGAACACAACGATAATGATTTGTTTTGTATATTTAAACAAAAATTCCAATTTTGATATTAAGATTGTAAAATAAATCTTAGTATGAGAAATCTTATATCATGTTGATGTTCAATATAACAAAACTTGTACATTAAGCTTGACATACTTAAGGTTAGACGACATATTCGTAATTTAGCCGAGATGAAATTCGTTTAAAATGAAATTCGTTTATAATACAGACATTGTCCTGTAAAGGTGTTGAAAATATTCTTTATTTCCTTGTCAATGTAGACAAGGAAGAAAATTTCAATATACAGTAGTTCGAACTATAGTAAGTCGATTTTTCGATGTGTCGAAGTTACAGAAAGTCCCGATTTTTCTCCACTATATATTCTTTATAAAGACCTATAAATCTGAAAAAGTCGATTTATATATGTGTCGATTTTTTCAATGTATCGAACTTTACGTGGTCGGTAAAGAATGATTCGAGAAGATTTCACTAAAATAAGTCAAAGTCCATGAATTGTTGTGCTGATTTCGATCTCGAGATGGTTTTCAAACTTTTTTTGACCGCGAAAATGATTGCCGATAGACATGTATCGCTGGTGTAATTTACACGGGATATATTAATTACTTTATGCTAGTTTAGTAAATGCCCTTTTCGTTTGGTACGCCTTTTGTTACTCACTTTAAAATGTTTACGGCTCGATATTTTGTTATCAAATTGAGACCGATTCATGAGTCGAAGTCTCGATATGTCGTCGAAGTTTTTACGCAAGTCCCTTCAACTTACAAAAGTTCTACTATATATATATTGTCAGGCCGATTCCAAGTCAGGATTTAAAATACTAACAACAAACTCTTTAGATCTTTTTATTTTATTTGTTTGACTTTAAGCAAATTCATAATCGATATAAAATCAATATAAAATATAAAATTTACGCTGTTATTTTCATACCTGTACTTTTTTATAATCCAGTTATCGGTTTTCTTATATCTTTTCTTTATATGGTTATCTTATTTAGTTATCTTTATCTTTCATTTATCTTTTTCCGTTTTCTTTTCAGTATTGCTATTTTAATTAAAAGATCGGTCAATTTATACTCAAAATGAAAGTAGTTTCCCGTAAAAGAGATGAACAAGAAAAGGCGGCGTTCAATGAACGCTACCCCCACACGACCCAGTAACAATAACCAGTGGGCCCATAAAGTCAAAGGGCACAGGAGTCAAGTTTTGTGAAATCTTTGACGGAAATGGTTTATAACAACAGAACAAACAATACAATCACTAAACGACATGGCATTTGACAACTAAACTCATATATTTTATGGAATAATCATCATTTTCCGAATGTATATCTATGAAGGTTCTTCATGCATCTTGCTTCTTAAATACATAAACGAGGGAAACGTTCACTTCCTCTCCATTTGGACTTTTATGCTTTCTGCAACACCTTTACAAAGTAAAGCTCCACCTTCATTCAACAAAAGTGCGGGCCATACCATAAAATTGACTCGACTTCCGGATGTCATGTATTCTCTGTAGAGGTTTTTGTCAAACCTTGACCCAGTTTCGCAATAGTGTAGTGCCATTGGCGGTGACTGGACTATCATCATCCAACAAATGAAGATACACTCCAAAATAAATGGTTTGATACCTTTAGTGTAACTCTCTGACCAGTATACTTCCATGTATGCCTTTAATAAAAAAATGTATATCTAAACTTTGTATGCACTTTGTTTAAGTATATTGTCCCTTTCCAAAATGTGCTTACTTAAAAATAATACTAATTCAATACATAAAAAATAATAAAATTTACGATTGCTACTACAATAGAAATGGAATGAGTTTCATACATTTATTGACTACTTCCTTTTTAATACATTGATAGAGATATATCATGACATTACATTGATTTCTTTTAATGAATTTCATGCCTGACAAATTTAGCTTTATCAGACACCTCATACTCATGAGAGAATGGAAATTTGTGTTTTCCTCTTACTACATGTTCTTTGTAATTATTGAACTGATAAACTTTGAATCTAATAGATGTTTTGTATATCTATGTCCCATTTACATTTGACTTAAAATATTTGGGACTATTTCTTATAAATATGACGGTTGGTATATCACTGCGCGCAAAATGAAATAAGGATGTTATTGACAGGTTTTTGTTTCATTTGAATTTTAAAGAAAGAAACGCATATATAAATGGCAAACATGGTAAATAGAATACCAAACAAGTATTTGATATTATGAAATTTATCAGGCTAGGCATAAAAATGCAAGGTTTAGCAGAGCCTCACCTTTCCACTTTTCTTAGCCTTGTCTGATAATTTTAGTAATATCAGACACTAGCATGGTGTTCTCCATTCATTTTACCTCACGAAAACGTTTAACTGTCCGGCAATATTCCCCAGGGGCGATAAATCTACCGGTATATAAACATCAGAAAACGTATTGTTCTAGTTCTCTCCTCTGATAAAAATCAACAAAGAAATAATGCTAAGCAGTGAAACAAAACATTAAAAATGTTGGTTTGAGATAATAAAAAATATATATATTGTCTCTCATTGTAATAGTGCATTTTAGCAACCCTTGAACTGAAATAAATTCTCGGGTTGATAATATGCATTATTACCCTGCGAGACATATGTTATTTCTATAATAGTAACTAAATATACCTTTTGTACTACAGGGACCGTGTATGTAGCAATCTCCTTCATCAACTGTTTTAATTTACTGTTGACAATAAGCATTGCTTCGTCTTCAATCTGGACCTAAGAGACATGATCTTTTTGTTATCTACACGTAAATACATTGCATGCCAACCGGTTCCTATATATAATCTGGGCAAATAAATATACTATCATGGTAACAACGTCAAATCGTAGCCGCTTTGTGAATGTTTACACACCTGTCAACAATTATTCATTGTCTGTAACAATCCTCAAATATGTTTCCTTTCTTATAAAAAGATGTATAATTAACAAATCCAAACGCTACGCCACTCGTGAATATACTGGTTTTAAAGCTCACGAGATGAAATAAAATTTCATCTTACACACACAAAAACAAACATCTCCTTTTAATAAGGAGTGAAATAGAAACAATATATCCCGCCATTTTTAAAACTTTCATCAAAATTGTAATTATCAACATCAGAACAAAGTTTTAATTTACAAATATCTAGTTATAGTTGTCCTTCAATTCTAAGAACAAATTATTTTATTAAAAAACATTTGATTCAAGAAAGAATTTGAAAAACTAAATGTTTATGTTTTTCATAAAGCCGTTACTGCCGCAGATATAAACGACATATATGTACAATTAACACTGTTATTACATATATAAGGTGTATACATTAATATGATGTAATACCTTTTAATCTTAAATTTTGTAAAATAAATAATAGACTAAATAATGTGTCACGCAAATATTTTTATTTTCATTCGGTGAAAAAGACTGTTCAAACAAGAGAAGAAAACATTTACATGTTCAGTATGTCCAGTTCTATGCTGGGTATTCAGCGAACTATCTTTTAACTTTGACATCCACCTCTCCTGTTGGAATTTTATTTCTTCCATCGATATTTTGTGTAAAACTTGAGCAACTTCCTTTACCTTGATAAAAAGCATCAAGTTTTGATACAATTTTTACATTGATTTTTACCAATAAAAGCAATAACTTTTATTTTACTTCTAACAGAAATAAATTTGGTCAAACTCTGATTTTACATAAAATAAACAAACATCAGTTTAAATCTTATTCGTTAAAAATATGTTGAATGTGTTGAATGAATAATATTGGCAATTTCTTTTTCAAGATTTCCTTTATTCATTTCTTTTTAAAAAAGTCATGTTCGATATTTCTATGAAACAAAAGGTTAGTATACATTTATTCAAATTGGATTTAAAAAAATAAAAATATATTGAATACAATAGTGTTTAATTCTTTCAACGGCAATTCATCATAAATTATGGATAATAAGTATTTTATATTTTTAAGGACATCAAATTGTATCTTGAATTATTATGGATAATAAGGCAATGACCTGTTTAGGTTGCATCGTTGCAAGAGATTGCAGTGTCAGAAAATATAGATGGAATAATCATGAATTATTTAAGTATTAAGTGAGCATGTACGACTGTATGTAATGACTATCTTTATACATTAATCTTATAAAAGTAAACCGTCCTTAGGATTCAGAGATTTTTAAGAATATATTTCTAATTTCCGAATAGAGGGAATAATATTCTAAAATTTTCTTTTCACAAAGCAAGAATTGTTGAGTATTAAACAAAATCACATAAGTTTACATGCTTAATGTAAAAACAATTTTAGATCATCGGTTTATAAACATAATAATTCAAGTATAGAAGTAAAACGGGTTCCACCACAAACCTTTTCATTTTCCGGACTTTTTTCACCTTCAAACAACAGGTTAAGAGCGTGTGATGACTTTTTCAGCAAAAGCTCCGCATTACTTTTACAAAACTGCATCACATGCTTTATAAAATAAAACAATCAATTTAATCAATACCAACAAATATATACACACCACTCTGAAAGATACTGTAACTCGTTTTTATGGTTTTAAATTATAAATATAATGCTCAAATGAAGATTTATCAATATTGTAAGTTCCAAAAAGCATTATTTGTACAGACGTTACCGAATTTACATTTCATGTTAATAAAGGGAGGTAATTAGAATTTTTTTTTCTATAAAGACTAAGTCAACTTTTTCAATAAGAAATGAATGCATATATTTTAATGATTACAAATTATGTGGACAAATATTTGCAGTACATTTTTTACATATTATTCGAACTCGAAAATTGTTTTAGAAGTATTATTATCTACATATATAAAATTTCACTTAGGTATGGTAACAACCTTAATTAAAACATAAAGGATCTTTAATCTTCTAAAAATGTTCGTTTTAACATATTTGTCAGGCGACATTATATTAATTGCAAAACATTGCTAGATACAAAAGTGACATAATTTGATTTGTGGAGGGTAACTAGCTGTATTGTATTTTATAAAGATAAACACAAGAAACAGGCATACATTGACATCAAAAGTTGTGGGAAAACATCTGTATAAACAGATATAATTGAAACAAAAATGTAATTGAAATAAACCGTCTTATGGGCCGATAAATATTATAAGATAAGTGTCTTCAATATTACCTGTAAAGTAAGTGCCAAAGTCTCAATTGCAAATTGTTCCTCATGACCTGCTTTCTTCAGAGCTTCAAAAGCATCTGTCCATTGATTGTCGTATAATTCACAGTATACTTCACCGAGCTTAGTCGGTCTGTTCGGATCGCTCAAATCAACATCACTATATCAAAAGAAAAATAACGAATGTAAATTTGACAATAAATTGTACACTTGTCTTTAATAGGCGTTTGTAGAAACAACATTCCCTAGATGGATTGGATCAACGTTCATTTGAGCATATATTCTTATTGATATTAACATATAAAAAGAACACTAAAGAAATTTCAATAAATGTCGATGAAAGAATATTTTAAAATTGATAGTGCAGTACATGTATACCAAATATCATACTTTGTTTGATATTTTCTTTTAGAAGATGTTCTATTGTTCTGCTTTGTTCATTGATTTTTCTCCTCAGCCCTTTGTAGATTATTGAAGAGAGTATCATTATTTTTTGTCATTTGGGTTAGTTGTGCTTGTATTTGACGAGTTGTTTCCTCACAGCATGATCGTAACTTTGTTGTGTTAGTATGACTTTTGTCGCGTTTGTATGTTGACTGCTGAATAAACATTTAGAAATGTTCAAAATAATTGGCTTTCTTATTCAAAAAAGAAGAAGTATTACTATTTAACCTTACAAATTCGATAATAAGCCTGTCTCGATAATATGCTACCATTTTCTCAATGTCAAAATTAAATTAAAAGTTAGCCGTCTGAAAAAAGATTCTAGCTATTATATTACTGAATAACTGATTTGTAATTTTGACGTATTGATAATCAAAAACGCAAGATTGATTTTTATTAATACTTAACTGAATTTAAAAACTACATTGTATATAAATGTCATGAAAATGAATTGTTTTAAATCACCAAAAGACTCCAGGTTAATCGCTTAAAAGAAAACTGACAATGTATCTACTGTATGCGTTTAGTACGCTAAACAGTTAAATACACAAAGATATGTAAAGCACGTACAAAAACAATTGAAGCACACCTGTTTTGTTATTGAATTAATGCCATGTAATGCATCGTATATCCTCATGAGCTATATTGACAATAAACTTAAACATGTGAATATTTGGAATGATTTAGTGCTGCTTCATATAAGTGAAAAACGAATGAAGATAACTACGTACTATCATAGTCCGAATATTTGCCCATCTCTTCTCTGTTTCATCCATTTGGTGTTCGAGATATTCTGGTACCCAACTTGTGTCTTTTTTATCCCAACTTTCTTTGAGATTTTTAATGTTATCATTCCAGTTCTTTACTTCATCTTCGAAAAATTTAAGAGCGTCTACCATGTTTGTTTTATGTGACGATTGTTTAACACCCATTATCAATTTATTTATTGATTTCTACTGTCAGTAGCAAGAGTTCAAAACTATATTTGGGCAACAAAACAACATACACATAAACACAAAAATAATGTTGGTGTCCACAGGATCTACACAAGAAATAGAAATGAGCATTAAGTACCAAATTAAAAAAATACATGACAGCAAACCGGCTAAACAAAGTGTTAGTACTTCCGATAATAATTAAGGATTACAAATTCTTTTTGAACACCAAAAGGAATCGGCCTTTCATTATTTGGTATAATCTAAATTAAAAACGTATTCATTTTTCAAATTGTAACAATTTTACCGTCCATTTTTTATTTTCAATGTCCATGCCCCCTCTTTGCATTTTCCAAACCATTTCAATCACTATGACATACATATTTATATTTACAGGAACTAAATTATATATGAAAAAGAGTTAAGTAGATAATTTCAATTAGCTTCAGCAGTCGTGGAAAAAATTTATCAATGTGACGATTGACGTTTAATGGAAATTGTTACTGGTGACGAAACTTGGATTTATCATTTAAAGCTAGAAAGCAAAGAAAAAATGGGTAGGTTCATTGGGCTATCGCACGAAGAAATAAGACGGTTAGGAAGACAATGTTCGCCTATTGTCGGTGATTGGCAAGCTCCAGTACGTCAGGTTCCTGTCACGAACGGTTCGTCCATTACAGGAAAGTTTTACAAGGAACTGATTCTTGAAATGGGTCGTTAAAGTTTTATACAGACCGCCTAGACACAGGCACACGTGGCCTTAATCTATTCTTACGACCAATGCGCCGTTCATAAATCGGCTACTGTAAACCAGCCTTTTTGCAGGAAATCAATCCTTAAGTCATTGACCATCCACCTTATAATCCTGACCTTGCCCCTTGTGTCTTTTTGGTTGTTTCCAAAGTTTAAAGAAATGCTGGAAGTCGTCATTATGAATCAAGAACTAGTAATTGGCTGTAGCGTTAATTAATGTATGCGACATATACTTGCTTCAGATTATCGTGTCACTTTACACTAATAGATAGAACAATGTAAATGGGTAAATTCTACAAAGGGGGACCTTACGTCAAATGACTGGCAGAAAAACGAATTTTAAACACTTTCAGTAAGATCTGTAAGGCTGAGTTAATAATGAAATGCCCATCGTGGTAAACAGTAACAAATGTCAAAAGCAGAACCGTAAAGCAAAACAATTTATAACTATGTATTTAATAAGTTAACTTATCATAAAAAAGCTCTCTTATAAAACATAAGAGCAAGGTCATATCATTTGTTCATTTTACCTACTTAATGGAGACATTTAAAAACATTGTTTATCCACTGCATAAGAAGGTGAAGGTTCACGAGGTAAAACATGCCATTACGTACAATAACTTGCTTTAATAAATTGTCGGGGGCTGCGTTCTGTGAACGTTCCCTTTGCCTTGTTGATCGGTCTTTATTCTTCTTTTCTAAGTGACGATGAAGCATTTAACAATTAGTTGTGTGTTATTTCGAATTAGATTTCGGCGTGTGTTCTTTAATTTCTCAGAAAACAACAGTTCGTTTTATCTAGATTATGAACTTAATGGGAGTTGCGTTCATTGAACGCCGCCTTTCCTTGTTGATCTTGTTTTTCATATTTTAAGTATTTCCCATTAATTATTCAAAATACAACTGATTGGGAAAAGAAAACAGTCAATTTTTGAAATCGAAAGGACACAAACGAGTTTTAAAATGGATGACTTAAGACAACGATCTATTAAACAAAATACAAAAAATACAAACCTGGTGAAGTATACACATATATATTTAAGTCTTGTTTAAGAAAAAAGTCCACTTGTTTTCTTCGTTTAAATACGCAGAAATAAGATGTAATAAATTTCCTCCTTTTGATGTATCTATAAATTTTATACAACCAAATCATATATCAAAACTTTTAATACAATAGTTTTATTCCATACAATAATTACTGCTGGACGAAATCCAAAAATTTTAACATAAAACTATTAGTATTAACCTAACGCAGAAATCAATCCTTGTAACTTAATATTCTAGCATTTTGCATCGGTGTATTTCATACTTTAAAAAACCTTAAACCACTTTGTTTTATAGTTCAAAACAAAAAACTTTGAACACAACGATAATGATTTGTTTTGTATATTTAAACAAAAATTCCAATTTTGATATTAAGATTGTAAAATAAATCTTAGTATGAGAAATCTTATATCATGTTGATGTTCAATATAACAAAACTTGTACATTAAGCTTGACATACTTAAGGTTAGACGACATATTCGTAATTTAGCCGAGATGAAATTCGTTTAAAATGAAATTCGTTTATAATACAGACATGGTCTTGTAAATGTGTTGAAAATATTCTTTATTTCCTTGTCAATGTAGACAATGAAGAAAATTTCAATATACAGTAGTTCGAACTATAATTTGTCGATTTTTCGTTGTGTCGAAGTTACAGAAAGTTTCTCCACTATATATTCTTTATAAACACCTATAAATCTGAAAGAGTCGATTTATATATGTGTCGATTTTTTTCAATGTATCGAGCTTTACGTGGTCGGTTAGGAATATTTCGAGACGATTTCACTAAAATAAGTCGAAGTCCATGAATTGTTATGCTGATTTCGATCTCGAGATGGATTTCAAACTTTTTTTGACAGCGAAAACGATTGCCGATAGACATGTATCGCTGGTGTAATTTACACGGGATATTTAATTACTTTATGCTAGTTTAGTTAATGTCCTTTCCTTTTGGTACGCCTTTTGTTACTCACTTTAAAATGTTTACGGCTCGATATTTTGTTATCAAATTAACCGATTTTATGAGTCGAAAATCTTAACTTTTTAAAAATTCTACATATTTTTGCAGACCATTCAAGTTAAGGATTTTAAAATCTAACCAAACTCCTTTTTAAAATCTGGGTTTAAAATTTTTTGTTTGACTTTAAGCAAACATAAAAATAAAAATCAATATAAAATTATAATACATTTTAAAAGCTGTTAAATTTTCCCAAACCCGTACTTTTTTTTAATCCGTTATTTGGGTTTTTTTATTTTCTTTTCTTTATATGGTTATCTTATTTAGTTATCTTTATCTTTCATTTATCTTTTTCCGTTTTCTTTTCAGTATTGCTTTTTTAATTAAAAGATCGGTCAATTTATACTCAAAATGAAAGTAGAGTTTCCGGTAAAACTGGTTTAAGAATGACGTTATGATGTATTTATAGTTGACAAAATGGCGGACTAAATTAAGACAATATTTAGTTTTGTACAAAAATGACAATAACATTTAACAAAATGAAATTTTTAAACATAAAAGGGAAAAGAATGTTAAAGGGAAAATTTTTAAAAATTTAATCAAAAAATAGTAAAGCATCAAAAATTTAGGTGATTTGGTTTTGGGGTGCAAAAAATTGGGAATATCTCATTAAAAGAAGCATGCGAGAGGTCATTTTACAGCTGTTGAAGATTTGTTTAATTGTTCGATTGGCGGGAAAGTAAGAACTTTTGATAAGTCGAACAATAGCAACATATCGGCCATTTACGTCAGTCTCTCAGATTAGCAATAATCGGCGATGTGTTCCGAAGTTAAAGAAGCACATGCTTCACTAGGTCAAATAATAGTGCTTAATGATATTGTTACGAAATTCTGTTTTAACAGAAAATCTATTTAAACACGTTTTCGCTGAAAATGTGTTTCATTTAGAACTAACTCTATATGCTTGTATAGATTAAGGCCACGTGAATGTATGATAATAAAATCAATTAAAATAACATTATGCATCATAATTATATACTAGCAAAAGTCTAAAGCAAATTCAACACTTAAACTACAACGACTCAACTCAACTCAAAGAACGCAACAAAAAAATTCGAGCTTATAAATCCTTTTGTTTGCGTTATGTGCAAAAGTGGACTGGTGTGCGACCCACTTGCGGAAACCAGTCTAAACGACTCCTTGCGCGACATGAATGACATGCATTAACTTTGTTCAAAATGGTGCACAAGTGGTTCAGGTATATCTCTGCAATTCAAACATAAGAACAAATCAAAATACATCAATATAAGTGTTAACATTCGTTCAACTTACAAATTCGCAGTAAATATGAAGATAATACCAGTAATTATGTACACAATGCAATCATGAATTGTTGAAAAGGCTTTTGGTCCGAAGCTTATAAATGCTTTGTTTTTTCAGTAATCTAGCTCCACTTAAAAACCCTATTAACGATGACATTGTTTGTTTTTATTAAAAATTGAAATCAGACCTTTTAATTGACTTCTTCTGTAGTCTGTCGTCGCTAAAGAAGTCATGCAAAAGGTCAGTTTTCAATTATGAATAAAAACATTGCAACTTAGTGCAGAAAGTAAATATATTTGTACTTTTTATGGTATATAAGATTGATACACTTACATTTGAACATTTTAACCAAGTACATGTAACATCTATATAGACAATATAAGCAGTAAGGAATTTCATTCCTAAAATCTGATATTTTTTGGAGATTATGAAGGGCTAAAAATAGTTCACTCTAAGCGACCTTCACTTGCTGATCATATCTAAAAAAACTGAGCTGTGCCAATGACCTGGACTGTTAATGACCCGATTGTTTTACAACGAAATGAGTAAAGAAATGTTGGCCAGATATTCCATCCTAAAAACAATACTCCTTTTTAAATTTCACAGTATTGTAGCTATTATAAATGTTGACTGTCACTTGTTTTCCAATTCGCTGTTTACAAAACAATAAACAATTTACTACAGTCGATGTTAATTTTTCGTTTAGGTAAAGTCGTATTTTGAATCGGAACGTGCGCATAACAATGTTTGTAGGCTGGTTCTAATGATTTTAGACTGTAAATGAGATTCATTTAACACAATTTGATACGCAAAAAAGGATGCCGCCAGCAATCAAATTCGACCATGTGGAGAGGTTTGATGACCTCTGCAACTGAGCCTTTGATAGCTTTTTAATAATTTGTGACTCTTCAAAGGGAGGTTGTAAAATTATAGATATGGTACTAAATTATTCAGCAACTTTAATAAAAATATATAATATATATTTTGTATAAAATTTAAACGCATGACTCTCTTTGTTTTGCATTTTTAAAGTTTGATAATGATTGTAAATTGACTGATAAATTCTACAATCTCCCCTTGCAAATCGGAATGATAAAGCACTTGTAATTAAACATGACTGGTAAAGATGCCTAGTCCGAAAATTCGTAACAAAGTTCAAATTTATGTTGAAAATATAATGATAACAATTGGACAATAAAAGTTTTTTGTAAAAAAAATGAAAATCTAATAACTGCATATGTTTATTTGAAACATTTTATTTTTCATGTTACATGTTTTATGTTTAATAGTTTCATAAGTGATTTTCCATTTGAATCAATATTGATTCCGTTTTCTGGAACTAATCAGTACGACTTCGTGTAAGGAAACATGGCTGTGTGGCTGTGCAGGAGTCGTGTACAGCTTATAAGAAGAAAACACCTTAAATGGTTCAAACAATGAAGTAATACAAATCAAATGTGCGTTAATCAAAATATTAATTGTTTTCCAGTCGATCATAAATAAAATGTCATATGAAAGAAATACATGTTTTCTGGTTTCTTATTCTACTGTTTGTATTTCTAGGCTTTCTTCTCAGTCAAATATGATAAACAAGATCAACAAAGAAAGGCGGCGTTTAATGAACGCTACCCCGACACGACCCAGCAACAATAACCAGTAGGTCCATAAAGTCAAAGGGCACAGGAGTCAAGTTTTGTGAAATCTATGACGAAATGGTTTATAACAACAAAACAAACAATACAATCACTAAACGACATGTCATTTAACTTAACTCATATAACATATTTTATAGAATAATCATCATTTTCCGAATGTATATCTATGTAGGTTCTTCATGCATCTTGCTTCTTAAATACGTACACTAGGGATACGATCACTTCTTCTCCGTTTGAACTTTTGTGCCTTCTGCAACACCTTTACAAACTAAAGCTCCACCTTCATCCAATAATAGTGCAGGCCATACCATATAACTGACTAGATGACCGGAAGTCATATATTCTCTGTAGAAGTTTTTGTCAAATCTTGACCCGGGTTCGCAAGTATGCAGTGTCATTGGCGGTGACTGGACTATCATCATCCAAGAAATGAATATACACTCCAAAATAAAAGGTTTGAGACCTTCAATGTAACCTTTTGACCAGTATAGTTCCATATAAGCCTATAATATATATAATTGTACATCTTAACTGCTATTTGTGAATAACAAAACAACAAAAAATAGTGACCAAGTGGTGCACTGTAACCGAATGAATTCAAACCCTGCCAGGGGCAAATTGTTGTTTCCTTAAGCAAGAAACTTTACACTCATTGCTAAGTACTGGTTGGTTCCGAGAATGGATTCAAAAATATGCCTAAAAGCCTATAAGCTTATAGCTTCGTGCACAACCGAAATGGAATAAATTCTAAATAAATATGTAAAGAAAGTAAAACAAAATATAAATATAAAATAAATTTTGTATAAACCAAAAATAGCGAAATTCATGATGTGATAGAGAACATGTTTGTAGAGTACAAATACAATTAATACTATAATACAAATAAAAGTGTCTGTACATTTATATTATAATTCTTTGGCTTTATATTACCTTGATAAAGATATATCAATTTACTCGTAGTAACTTAATATACCTTTTGTAGTACAGGTACCATGTATGTAGCCATCTCCTTAATCAACTGTTTTAATTTACTGTTGACATCAACCTTTGCTTCATCTCCAATCTGGACCTAGGATACATGTTATAAAGATACTATATTTGTGTTAAGTTAATTTCCATCATTCAATAGTGACCTTTATGTTATCTACATGTAGATACATTGCAGCTGCAAATGTATGTGATTTAATCTTTATTTTTATCAAAGAAAGAGTTGCATGCTATAAATGCGTTACAATCCCGTTTGATAGGCTATATGGCCGTGTAAAAACGAATATTTGTTAAATTACCCTGTCCCGGATGCTCAAACGGTGCCATATGATCTCTTTGTGATATGTATTCATAAATATATGTTTATATAACTTATATTGTACACAATATGAAAATGCAAAATAGTATTTAAATATATAGATTTAACACAGCATTAAAGATAATGAAAATATCCATAATATATTATTAGATATAAATATCTATTACAGAGAGATAATATTGTAAAAATCAATCAAGCTTATTTTGTAAACTATTATGTTTTTATTATACATTGTTGGGTAGATACTGAATTTTCTTTGGTAAATACAAAGCTGTAAAAGCAAAAATTGGACGAGGCTTAAGTCAATATATAGGGTTTGCAACTGTGTTTGAGTCCGATAGAGTGTTTTATGTCGTAAGCACTGTAGAATTACCTCTTTATTTAACACCATAAATGATTTCAAAGGAAAACGCATTGAATTAAAAACGTGGCATCAACAGCGTTTTGTATTTTATAAAAGTATAGTTACTTCTAATGCAAAAGTGCAAGGTATGAACTTGGATATAAAACGATGCACAAATTGATAAGAATGGATCGAATAATGATTTATATTGACAAATCAATGGTGTAAACTGTAGACTGTATTTTAGTTACATTTAAAGATATACTATGCTCAAATTTGATAATAGAATTGCTACACAGTCTCTTTGTAAATATGAAATAAATATGTTTTGACTTCACACAAAGTAGAATAAACATGTTTTGACTTCACACAAAGTAGATATGTTATGTTTTAATTTTACACACATTTTATTTCATTAAAACCATTTGATTCAAGAATGAATTCGAAGAACAAAATAAAAATGTTATTCGTTAAGCCGTTACTGCCGAAGATATAAACATAAAATATATGTACTTTTTAAAATCTGGAGGGATGAAAACAGCAAAATTGCATAAAAATTGCAGACTCGGTTTGATTAAGTCTGCACATGAAGCTAGTGCAAAGTGCAAAATCCCTCATGCCCGTCTTTGCACCGGCTTAAGCGTTACTCTATACCCTATTATTACATGTATAAGGTATATTCGTCATTCTAAAAATGTAAAATAAATAATGGACTTATTATACGTTATCCATTTTTGTCTGTTTAACCAGTTATATACAGTTCATATCATCGGTTCAAAGAAGAGTATAAATTATTTACATGTCTAGTACTTGGCTGAATATTCCCCGGATTATCTTTTGATCTTGCCATCCACCTCTCTTGTTGGAATTTTATTTCTTCCATCGATTGTTGTCGTAGAACATGAGCTACTTTCTTTCCCTTTATAAGGAATCAAATCTTAATAAAACTATTTTACATTGATTTAAATTCATTAGAGAAACATATTTTATTTTACCATTTACAAAAATCAAACTTCGTTAAATAATGATTTTATATACAATAAACCAACGAAACTTAAAATCTTATTCATGTTGTGTAAAGCAAACACTGTGTACATATATATCTCCCTTTTTCTTTCAAGATTCCTAATTCGTCTTGATGAAACAAAATATAATATGCCATATAAGAATAAATTTGAATTGTATTTTATATGAAATATTTTCTAATTTCTTCAACGGTACTTCATCGTAAATAAGAATATTTTATTTTTTTTCAGTACATCAAATTACACCATGAAGTATTATATGGATAATAAAGTAATGACCTGGTTAGGTTGCATTGTTGCATGAGATTGCAGTTTCTGAAAATAAAGATGGAATGAATATGAATTAACATAAGTATTTAGTTATTTAGTAAGCATTATCTTATGACTATCTTTAATCTTAATTGATATTTTATACCTTTATCTTATAAAAGCAAATCGTACTTACTTTTCAAAGCGTTTCTAAGTTATGAGAAAATCATTTCTTAATATTTCTCTTAACAATGCAAGAATTATCGAGTATAAAACGATATCACATTAGTTCACAGAGGTTAAAGAAAAATTGCATATCATCTACATATATCTATAAACATAATACTGTAAATATATAAACGTGAAAAGGGTTCCTTCACAAACCTTTTCATTTTCTGGACTTTTTTCACCTTCAAACATTAGATTGACAGCGTCTGATGACTTTTTCAGCAAAAGCTCCGCATTACTTTTACAAAACTGCATCACATGCTTTATAAAATAAAACAATCAATTTTATCAATACCAACACATATATACACGTCACTCTAAATCTTCTATAAATGTTCATTTTTAACGGAATAGACTGAAATAGCAGGCGTTATTATGTTAATTGCGAAACATTGCTTGGATACAAAATTGACCAAAATTGATATGCGGTGGGAAACTAGCTGTATCGTATTTCAGTATAATAAACTATCGAATCCCACGTGACTGTGCCCTTTTTAATTGCAATATATGGATCATTAAACGATTTGCATTAGTATGCCACACGTGAATTATATGCTACACAACTTAGAAGTCAGAGGGTGCCGTTTTCCGGGCATTGGAAACACTTGTCCCGTTCTATCATCCTCAACGGGATATGATATCTATATGATAACTCTGTAATATCAAATTTGCGTCTCAAAAAAGGTCTGGTATTACATGTATTATGATAACATAAAATCCTTGACATGCGTCTGAAATTATGTGTGTGTAGGCATTAAAAGTTGAAGGAAAACTTATCACTTTAAACTAATGGGCAGGTGAATATTATAAAAACAATTGTCGGCAATATTACCTGTAAAGTAAGGGCTAAAGTCTCAATTGCAAATTGTTCCTCATGACCTGCGTTCTTTAGTGCTTCAAATGCATCTGTCCATTGGTTGTCGTACAATTCACTGTATACTTCACCGAGTTTCGTCGGTCTGTTCGGATCGCTCAGATCAGTTATTGCCGAATTGTCTTTTGTAAGTCTTTCTCCCGCAATTTTACTTAGTCTGCCAAATTAAAAAAAATTAATTCAAACAAAAAATTCAATGATTTAATAATAATTGCAAAAATATTTTTGTGATTAATTGCCTTGTTTTTGCACGGTGCGGACATTAGAATTACGATTGAAAGGTATCTTAATTTACTGGTCAAAAGTGTGGTTATTTTCGAAAATAATTAATTAGCAATTTACCGTAACAAAAGCGAATCCTTTTCTTTCTTCTGCTCCTTGAATTCATATTCCAGTGATTCATATTTTGCTTGCAGCAGTTGGCATTCTTCCATGACTTTAAGCTTTTCTCTTTTGAAACTTTCTTCCATTTGTTTGATTTGTCTTTGAAGATTCTCCACAAATTCAGAATGCTCTTTCTTCGTTTTCCCTTTCTTTGCTTTCTTGTTAACGAGACAATCATTTGATAAGTGTTCTAACTTGCCTGTTGTTGTTATTATCATTATGTCTTATTAAATGTTATAAATAATTGTATTAACAAACTTACCATCAACATGTTTGTTCTTAGTATGTTTAAAATTTCTTTGTCACATTCGTAAATATTTAGTTTATTTTGTTGTAAACAGGATATATTTAGGACTGTTAGGAATTTATTATATAATTCATCATAGGCTTTTGGAAATGCATAATATAAATCACGTTAATTTTGTATACAGAAATAAACGTATGCAAAATTAATTATTAATTATTTGTATTCTGCATTTCCAAAAACCTATTTTTATATATATGAGATCCACACAAAGAATCGAACTTCTTCTTTTATAATTATATAATTATACAAAACTCACACAGGAATGTTTGAAAAAATACCAAAATGTTTCTCATTCTAACAGTGAATGTATCTTCTAATATTTAAGTATGTTTTATTCTAAACATTCAAATGTGCTTTAATAAGAAAGTGTGGTGAAAGAATGACAAAAATTTATTTCGTAGACCAGCTGATCCAAACCAATTATATTTCGGTAATGAATGTTGATACTACCTTCTTGACTTCCATGTCTTTATATTGTGCGACTGCGATTTCTAACTCTTCACATCTGTATAAAGTAGAAAGTAGATGTAGAAGACATTGTATAGTATAGGTTTCAATAACAATTGGATCATGCATCAATGACATATTCGAAATAATTGTTTGATACATTGCTATAAATATGTCACAAAAAAGGCATTATTGAATAAATCATGACGAAGATTTGATCTAAATCAAACATCAGGGCATTGTGAAATTTGTCCAGGCATTAATACGTACATGTCTATTATAAGTCTTACATTTTGAACAGGATAAATACTAATCCAAGTTTTACTTTGTAACAGTTTTAAGTATTAGATGCCAAGCATAAAACAATGTACCGTTTTTTCTTTTCATTTAGCTCACTGTCCATGTCTTTATATTGTTTCCGAAGATTCTTCAATTCTTCGTCTGTTTGTTCAATCTCGTTTTGTTTATCATTGTTCTCCTGTTTTAAATAGAAAATAAATCTTCATTTTCTTTAGTTTTTATTTCTTGTATTTGATATCAAAAATAACTTTTAGCATTTTTTAATTTTGATGATTTTGGTTGTTAGGATATTGTATTTTTCTATAAATTCACTTACTTGACATCAATATTTTTTGAAGTGCTAAGCAATTTAAAGTCATTAAAAACTAAGTTTTTCATAATGTCTTTATTGTTGTAGCATGGGACAATAGCAGGGAATACCTTGACGTTAATGAACAAATCCTAACAAATTTTAGTATACCCATTCACGTGAGTTTTAAAAATTAATTTACTTTTGTTTATGCTGAATTCTGATGTTATTACAAGGTGTTTTAAATAAGTTACATATCATAAATAAAATATAATTATGTATTTTAAGTGTACCTGCTTTTCTCCGATTTCACTGTGTTTTTCAACTTCCTTTTTTAAATATTTACATCTGTAAAAACATAGTAAAAGGTTGTTTAATAACATTTTAAAGGTTTGAAGTAATGAAGTCCAAATTCTTGTAGCAATGTCATAAATCAATTTTGAAAGGTTATGTTGAAATGAAATTTCGGAAATTCGTAATCGATTATGGAATGTACTGTAATACTCAAATCAAATGCCAAAATGTCATCAAAACAATAACAGACATATCATCTTTTAGTTAATCTTATTATTATTACTGTACTTTTCAGATGTTTCTTTGTTTTCGTTTTCTAAGTCTTTGACATGTGTTTCTTGGTCATTCATTTTCAGTAAAAGTGGCGTGGTCTTTTCATCCAATTTTTGAGACCCTGCTTTCTGTTGTTCGTCGGTCTTACTTGGTATATGTGTTGAATTCTCATTGTCTGCAACTTTGGAAGATTTTTCCTCAAAATGTTTGGCGCTTTGCTGAAAAACAACGCAAATGTGAATAATTAGTCTCAAAATATTCATTTATAATATTTTCTTTGAACAATTTCAATACATGGGTATCTACTGATGCATACTTCAAAATTGATCAGATGTTTTAAGAATATGCGATTTTCATATAAGCTTAAGATTTATCAAGTTTACCAATCAAAGCAAAACTGTAACATTTTAAATACAGTCGTTTTGGGCATTCCTTAGAATTCCGTTTTCCTCTTTCTTAACATGTGATGGAGTTTGCAGCTTCTAGTTGCCGTGTGATTTTCACTTATAATTTCCTTCGAGTGTTGCATGAAGCAGAGACAAGCCTCAATGGTAATTATTAACTTTAAAATCGGTATAAGATCTAGGAAGGGATCGGATGACTAAAATTCTGATAAGGGGAGATCCCTCGAGAGCAATAAAAATAACAGTAAAATATGATAATTAAAAATGAAAATAATGAAAGGCGCATTATCTCTTATGCCCTTTAAAACATGCATAAACAGTATTTAATTTCTAATACAATTAAGTATTTAAAGCAATGGTCACGGTGGACCACAAGTAAAAAACTAACATTAGACCTCAGACAAATACAGTTCGCCATTACATACCTGCAATACTTTAGTGTTATGATTTGAAGACGGTGTGTCTTCGTCTTTTGTACCGTTATCAACATCACTATAGCAACAAAAATAATAACTAATGAAAGTTTGACAACGTATATTGAACTAAGTATAAATGTAATTTTCTTTAAATATTTGAAGTTACTGTAGAAGCAACATTATCTTGACGGTTTGGATCATCATTCATTTTTTCGAAAAGCATATGGTCTTAGTCATATTCAAATGTTTAAAAAAGCTAGAGAAATACAAATAATCGACGAGGAAAGAATATTTTGAAATTGATAATGCAGTACATGTATACCGAATTTCATACTTTGTTGATATTTTCTTTTGAAGTGTTTCGATTGTTCTCCTTTGTTCATTGATTTTCTCCTCAGCAACTTGTAGATTATTGACCAGAGTATCATTATTTTTTTTCATTTGTGTTAGTTGAGCTTGTATTTGACGAGTTGTTTCCTTACAGCATGATGGTAAGTTTGTTGGGTTATCATGATATTTGCCGCGTTTGTATGTTAACTGCTGAATTAATAATTAGAAATGTTCGACATTACTGCATTATCCACATTTCTATACAAACAATAAAAGTACAATGTATTTCTGAAATATGTTTTGTATTCATTGATAACTATAAACAGTTAAAGACATAAAAATATGCAAAGCGGCGCTTACAAAATAAGACAAGAAGCATGTTTTACTTTGATAGTTTTTGTGTATTTTTCAGTGTTTGAATAGATGTCATGTTAATATTTGAAATAATTAATTGCTGCTTCATATGAAAAACGAATGTAGATAACTACGTACTATCAATGTCCGAATATTTGTCCATCTTGTCTCTGTTTCATCCATTTGTTGTTCGAGATATTCTGGTACCCAACTTCTGTCTTTTTTCTCCCAACTTTCTTTGAGATTTTTAATGTTATCATCCCACTTCTTTACTTCATCTTCGAAAAATTTAAGAGCGTCTTCTATGTTCCCTTTATTTGACGATTGTTTAGCACCCATTATGAATATATTTATTTAATCTGCAAATCGCAAGAGTTCAAATTATATGTGGGCAACAAAAACATGATCTAATATAATTACAAACTATTAACATTATTTGAAAATCTGGAAACAAAGTGATCCCTCGGAAGCATTAATCACAACAAAATTACATGAAAATTGCAGACTCGGTTTGATTAAGTCTGTACATGAGGGATAATGAATAAATGCAAATCCCTTACGCCCCCTAGCCCGGCTTGAGCGGTAATCAATTATCAACACTTAAAAGTGCTGGCATCATTGATCACAAAGGACCAGAAAAATATAACAACACTGAAGTGAAGTACGCGGCAACTTTTTACAGTTGCCACACAGCACTTGACACCTGCTGATGTGCAGTATAAAACTCTTGAAACAAAGTGATCATTCGGAAGCATTTATCACAACAAAATTACATGCAAATTGCAGGTTTGAAGTCGGTATTCACATGATCTATACAGGGAATAGAAATGTACATAAAGTATCAACTGTATATATATAAAAGTAGAACATGACAGTAAACAGGCTGACATATTAATCAAGGATTACAGATCTTTATGAGTGCGAAAAGGAGTCGGCTTTTCGTTGATTTTATACTTTTATATATGGTTAAAAGTATTAATTTTTCAAATTTGACAATTTAACCGTCTTTTTTTCAGTGCACACTAACCCCCTTGCATTTTTAAAAATATTACAATAACCATGATATGCCTTTTTGTTTTTAAACGAACTATTTCTGTGTATGAAAAACGTTTGAGTAGATAATTTTACGTCCTTTATTTCAGTTTGGATCAATTGAAGGGAAACGATCATTGATTTTAACAATTTTGTTCATATCAAATAATAAATGCATGCGTGTAAAAAAAGACTTTTCTGTTCAAACAACTAAAACAGATTTACATATAAAGAAAATTTATAAAGACTTAAACCACAAGCATCATAACAGATATATAAACCAGTTGAACAAATTTAACCATCCAGATACTCGTTACAGCTTGAACTTGACACCTGTAAAAAATTTCCTAGCCAGAGTTTCTTATTTGCAATTAAACATTGTTGATTCGTTATTTGTATAAGTCATTACGGGTTTGTCTTTTCATAACATGATTAATTTTCTGAAAAAAGTGATCCTGAAATGACCGGACCGGAATTCGAGCCCAATACACGTTGCTTACACATACTAAGCGGCCCCACCGGTTTCCAAAAGTTATCAGAAAAATGTCAGAAGCAGGGTTAATATTCTAGATTTAAAATTTCTGTAAGGTTCGTAATCATCAATTACTCAAATGTCATTATATCAATAGATATCATATTTATTTCATGCAACAAATATTGTTACCCCATCCTAACATTTGGTTAATACGTGATTTATTTTAGTTTGATTAAGAACTTTTAGCTTATAGACACACTCTCGAATCCATTCCTGGAAACAACCAGTACTAAGCAACGAGTGTAAAGGTTCTTGCTTGTCCTTGACAAGGATTGAACCCACGCGGGTAGCGATTCTTAGATTACTTATTCTACGCGTTACCGCCACTGGTTTCCAATTATTATCAGGAAAGGGTCAGAGGCAGACCAAATATTCAAGATCCTTATATTCAAATACTTCAAGATAGATATAGATCACTAGGTAGTTCAGTTTGTGAGATTTGGCCTTTCAAACAGTAAAGTAAAAACAATTTTATAACTATATGTATTTACTAAGTAAACTTACTATGAGAAAGCTGTTATTCAACATAAGCGCATATCGATTCTCCTACTAACGATGACTCAAAATAATTGTTTATCCACTAAAGGTTCACGGTGTAAAACAAGCAATTACGCACAATAACTTTTTATAATAATGGAAAGATAAATATGAAAATGGTAATGAGTCCTTTAAAATTGTGTGTAATTTCTGAGTTGATTTCATCTGTTTATTTAATTTCTCAGAAAACAACAGTTCGTTTTAACTGAATTATTTGCTTTAGTATTTGCATTTAAGAATTCCTAATTCAACAAATTGAGATATTAAAACAGTCAATGTTCGAAATCGAAACGACACAAACAAGTTTTAAAAGACAAGGTTGCTTCAAAACAAATATACAAACCTGGTGAATTATACACATTTATATTTAGGTCACGTTTAACAATAAAGTCCACTTGTTATCTACGATACAATACGCAGAAATCAAAAATAATAAACTTCCTTCTTGTGGTGAATCTATAAATATTGTACAACTACAATAAAATCATATATAAAAAAAACTTTTTTGACAGAGGTTTTCATTTCATACAATTGTTAACAAAATCCCTACATAAATCAGGAAGTAAAACTAACCGATTTTTTAAAACCGTTATTACGATAAACCACCTAACGCAGATATCAATCCTTGTAACTTAATATTTTAACATTTTATCACAGTGTATTAGATACTAACCGCTTTGTTTATAGTTTAAAATAAACACAACGATAATTATGTCTAGTGTATAGTTAAACAAATTTCTAACCACGTGCTTATTATAATATTGATATCAAAATTATAACAAAGAAACAAAATGAAAAAGAAACTAAATTAAACAGAAACAAAATGAAACTACTGTAAGTTAAGTTTTAGGTGCATTTTGATTTTCCAAAGGCAACACCCTTTTTCAAGTGTACTAAGTACGACAATATGCGAACTGGCAGAAATGTTTTATAATTATAGATGTAAGGAGCATCTGTTGGCCAACCAATAGCAAATCCGTATATGAATGATAATCCTAAAAATATAAACTGGCATTTAAACCAAAAACACAATTATCTGTTCATATCCTTTAAGAAGGATATTTTAAACAATGCGACAAAGAAATTGGTTTCAAAATATGTTTGGTTTTCGTCTGATTTATTTTACAAGTGTTTAAAAACAATCATCCGTTATATTCTTTAAGAAGGATATTTTGAACAACGCGGCAAAGATATTGGTTACAAAAATATGTTTGATTTTTGTCGAATTTATTAAACCAGTGTTTAAAGAAAATTAAATTAGGAACTTCTATACACAGTCATCTGCACATACATTCAAATACAAGGCCAATAAAATACAATTAATGATCAAAAATGCTAACTGAACACTGGTAGATTTGGATATCACCGTATGAATGCTTTAGAACATGTACCATACTGTTGCACGAACAACACAAAAACTGTCTTCTTCACACTTTACGAATGCGTCTTGCATGTCCGGGTTTTTTTTTCGGTACTGTTCAATTTTATAGATATGATTTCCGATCTTTAATATTGACATGTATACAATGGAATGATTCACACGTGTCTGTAAGAAAGACAAGTTTAACTGGTTGTTTCTCATATGAATTATGAATGAGTTAGAATACTGAATGAAGGTATGTTTACATGACCCCCGAGAAGAATAAAAGGTTTATACTATGAACGAACATCATATAAAATAAAAATATTAATACCGATAATTAATACGGAGAGTCGTAAAATATCGCGCAACGAGTTAAGTTTGCATAAATGAAGTGACTAGTGCATAAATTTGATTATGTTAAAATATGAAGTTAATAATACAAGTTAATTTATCAACTTTATGACAGGGCTGTCCTGTTCACTGATGTCGATGATCTATTTGCCATTTAAATAAGAAAAAGTCAAGCATGTACCCCGTCCATTTGTTTTCTGACTATGAAAACGATAAACATGTAATAATATGATCACCGATATTAATTTTTAAAATCAAATGACTGATTATTAATAAAGAAAACAATTTGTGTCATCAACTTGCAGATCTCATGACTTGCGTATGTCGATCATGAGGGGTATGAAAAGATGCATAATCCCTCACACACGCTAGCGCCGGCTTGAACGGTACTCAATTTTTAACCCTTAAAAGTGCTGGAATCAATGATCCCGAAGGACCAGAAATATATAACAACACTGAAGTACGGGGCAACTTTTTACAACTGTCACACAGCACTTGACACCTGTTGTTGTGAAGTATAAACATCTCAAAAAAGTGATCCCTTGGTGAAATCGGCAAGTCAATTTGAAACCGGAAACGGAACTTGCTGATCTCACGGTACTTGCAGATCTCATAGGACAGATAAAAAATTCTTCATAAAATATGGTTCCTTCACTTAAACTCCAAGCAATCCTATTGTCATTGAAACAAAGAGTAAAAGCCATTTGCATCGAAAAACATTATTTTAAGTTGTTTATACATGTAGTATATTTATACATGTAGTATATTTATACATGTAGTATATTCTAACACGTTTCATACTATTCCCTGTCAGACAGACAAGGCACTCAGGTACATTATTAAACGATATATGCAATATGCACAGTCATAAAAAAGAATGGTTACATACCAAATGACATCAAGAAAAATACCTTTACGCTCAAACTGATAATCATTTTTTATCATTTTTCTTTTTTTTTTTTGTTTCTTTTTTTTTTTTGTTAGCATGTTAGAATGAAAACAGAAACTATTTTTTATACTATTTTTTCATGCATAATATACCTTTTTTACAGAACGATTTATAAGCATTTCGCGCATATACATTTTGCGTTGTACAAAACGGCAATCAAGAATAATAATAATTGTATTGAATTTTTTAAGTGACAAATATTGTACGTGGGACAATTTGCCTGATAAAAATGTGTGTTATTTCGCTACCCATTAGGAAAATATTCTTATTTTCTCAAGATTTTGAAAAATTTCTTAAACATATGTATGTGACTGTTTGGGGTCACAGTCACATCGTAAAGAGGATAAAAACAGGCAAACTAAATACTATACAACATGTTCATGAACATGCATTATCATATGTTTTGACCTTTTCTTTACAGAATGAAAATTAATTTTGATTTCATATGTTACATAGATCTCTTTAGTTTTTTTATATGAACAATTTCAAAAAGAATGAGGAAACTTTCTTTTGTCTGAATTATTAATATATTTCCACATTTTTTCAACGATTTTTAAGTCCGACATGTTCGCAAAGGGAATTCTTAAAATCATTTTTCCATATCTTCTTTTTGTGGTCATCTTGGAAACAAAGCTATAAAGGCATCGTTTTCTGTTTTGCTGTATAATATATTTTTTTAAACTTTTTACCGTCAACTAACTCAGAATTGTCTATGAATTTCTACTACATTTCTATGTAAGGCGATTATTTTTTACCTTATCCAGATTGCGCACGCATATGCGGTATATTTTTCATAGCAACTGACCGAGTGATAACGGTATAATAATGCAGTGTTTATCGTACAAATGCTTTTAAATTAATCACCCAGACCTATCATATCCCGAACCGTGCATTATTCTAACAGTGCACCTACTTCCTTCAGAAATTGTAATGGCATTAATATGATAGATGTTGTCACCATATCGCTTACGTAATACAGAAAATAATGTTGATGGCAGGATTTAAACGATCCATTGATGAATTTATACACATTTTATTACATGAAATGGTATTCATTTGTTTGATTATAAATTTAATGCGACAAGGCATTTTTATATAACTAATATGATATTTTATACTAAGAAATAATGGTTTCAACATAAGGTTTATACACTCTTTTATATTTTCAAAGCCGACAAATAAGATAAAACAAAATACATATAATATAGACAATCTTTTACTTTATTTAGATATTCATGTTTTTATAAAATAGAAAAAAATATAACAACGATGAGCATGATGTAATAAGATTATGTAAGCAATACATCAACATATGTGACATTTGCATTTGAAACTTGTAAATTGATCCATAAGTTGAAATGCAATTCCGCTAATAATACTCATATTTGTTTCACTTGTTATGTTATATGTAAAGGAAATTGAATGAAAAATTTTTTTACGAAATGCTTGATTGCACGCGTGGAGAAAATCTTCGCAAAAAGAGTGAGTTAATCACTTTAAAAACAAATAAGAACTACAAGCATGTTCTGTTCCGAATAATATACTAGTAGTAAGTTAATTGATAATAGGTCAACAAATCACGTGTTCATGGAAGAATACTGTATATATGTGCATTTATGTTCCAAATCTAAACACGTTTCTATCAACCCTTCTGAAAAAAACAACACATGTTTACACCAATAACATTCCATGAAAAGTATGTATGAAAAGTTTTCACCATGAATACTTTTTATTGTAACGGGTTATGATGCGTGTGCTAATCAGTGGATTTCAGGTTTGGACTTTCCAGGTTTGTTGTATGCGCATTTCTAGAACTAAATTCCCGTGCTGAGCAATTGTTCTATTAATTCGTCATCTGTGTCGTCATCACCGGCAGCTTTTGGGGAAGCAGATTCAACATCATTTATCAAATCAATAATGTTTGGAAGTTCTGCCGTCCAACTGTTTTCCTGAGCAAACATAAAAGCTATCTTTCCATGCATTAAAGACGATTCAAATAATTGTCCTTGTCTATAGTATTCTGCTTTTGCAATGTGATATAACATTTTTCGTCTACTTTCCATTCTTTTCCAAATATCTGGCTTTTCAATGAAATCCAAACAGTTCTTTGCAGATTTTCTGTCGTCCTCAGAAACAGAAATTTCTTGGATCTTTTTTCCAAACAGATTCAAGCCTAGATAACAATACGCCTTTTTGAGCATAAGCATTCTAGAATAGTCACTTCTTACATCATCTATTTCTTTTTCGAAATGTGCCATAGCGTGTTCAATGGTTTCCAGAAGTTCCTTTTTCATTTCTGCAGAGGGATTTAGTTCAAATTTCTGAGACAGCAGATTGGCGTTGATGTAAAATACCATACCTGTGTCCTTACAAGGGGATATTTGTATGCTGTGTTGTTTTGCGAATTGCAAGTAAGCTAAGCCATTGTCGAGAGTCGTTTTCATAGATAGTGCAGATCCACGCCTACATTACAATGGAAGAAAAATGATTTTATGTTTAATCTGCTGTAAAATGCATTGGCTTAAAATTACGACATGGCGTTTATCAAAAATAATATAAAAAAAACGTACCGATTATATCAAATCGAAAACAAGAAAATTTATGTGATAAAGTGTATTCCTTTAACTATTAATATTTATGGATATTAAATGGTAATGCTAATATTTTTTTGTTTTTTTTTCTCAATTACAATTTTACGTGTATATGTGTTTTGATTTTCATAAATCCTAACAATGTTCTTTTACGTGTCAACGAAAACTTAATATCAATACATGTAATCATCAGGCACTGAATTACAAACCTTGCAAGATATGTCATGCTGCTACTGGTTGGATTTGACGTGAATTTGATAATTTTTTCCATTTCACCGAACATGTCACTGTCAGTCAAATTTGTATCATACTTCAGTCTTCTAGCTTCTATCTGTGCATCAAGAACTGTAAACCTTATATCATTAACCCCCATGTAGCTCGGAACACACATGCCAAGTTTGGGTTTTTTCGCCTTATATCTATCATTAATTCGGGTGACAATTGCATTGAATTTGTCCATGCTGCCTTCGTGTGATAATCGTTTCAGTTGATGTGCCAGTATGGTTATTTTTCTACGACACGTGACATTCATGTCTATCTTTCCAACAGAAGTATATATTTTATCACATTTTGCTTCCTTGTTCACAGAAGATTCACTTTCTTCTTTGGTTTGTTCCGTTTTAGTGTCGTCTAAATGTTTAGCATCTGATGAGAAATCCTTATCTAGCCTTTCACTATTCCCTTGGTTATTTTCGCAATTTTCCATTGTGTGTTAGTCTGAGACAGGTTTTTTAAGAAAATGATTTACAATTAATACATTTTTGTAAACATATAATCTAAATGCCCTGAACAAAAATGCTAATAATTAATTTTCAAGTATCTATTATTCGGATATTTCATTTGTTAACTTCCTTATGATTGATTTTTTAAACTTACCTTCAAATTGTATAGTTAACCCCGACATTGAAAAAAGTTGTTTGGGGGGTTGTGTGTGCAAAACCAGTGACATTTAATGATATAACGTGAGATAAGCTAGTAAATATATAACAGCAGCGTAAAATCACATGTTCTCTGCCAACAATTATTGATTAAATAGCTTTCCAGTGTCAAATTACAGGAAGAATTAAAAATGACATATGAAATAATGATATTTATAAACAACATGTTCAATATAATTTTACATTTACATTTAAAGCTGCACGCCTCCAGATGAGTAAAAAAAAGTTCAAGATAATCAAAAATGAGAAAAATGTACTAAAATCTTGAGCAAGGTAAAACATTCAAGATACAAGTTATATTTTACATGTTAAGAGCGGTTTAAGACTGATTTTGCAGTATTCTATCAACATATTTCTACTGCGTTACTAACGCAGTAGGGGCTGTTTTTTTTACATATGTTGACCATATGTGTAATTTACGTGGATTTAAAATGCTGTTTGCAATGTGTAAATTACTTTCTTTGTTCACTTCACAATATTTTACTTTTAAATACATTTTTAAAAATTTCTTGAAAATTAACATAAATCTGGAGGCGTGCTGCTTTAAATATCTTCGCATGATAAGTAATGTGTTTAAAGACCTCGGCTATGCGAGTTCGAGTAACAGTTGAAACACATGTTGTGTTTATTATGATGATGATGATGATGATGATGATGGTGATGATGATGATGATGACGACGATGATGATGATGATAATGATGATGATAATGGTGGTGATGATAATGAAGATAATGATGATGATTTTGATAGTGGTGGTGGTTTTGTAGTTTGTGTACGTCGGAAACATTTATAGTAACTTGCGACAAAAGATGGTTAACATTTGTTCTGACTTTCAGGTAATAAAATTAATGAATTGAATAATATACAAAAATATTGTTATAAACAACCCAAAATGTTTGTCAAGTAGAAAACATTTATGGTCATCATTGATGCGGGCAAAGAAGGTGATAGCTTGTTTCTTGTTGCAAGGCATGCTATGACAGTCATACATAGTTTATTTCACAAAATATCGTTACAGCTACGTTTGTGCATGAGTTTGTTTAATGATGACTTTAACAGGAACTGCAAACAATATCTGAGGAGAAAGCTTAGCATGAATTCTGTCTAAAAATTTGTGTAAATGTAAGGGAAAAAAACACTATAGTTGAACAATACATAGATACAGAGGAATAACATTCGTCCTAAGTAACTACATGTAAGTATTTAGATATTTGCACTCATTATATCGAAATATAACAAAACATTGTAATCTTTAATCTTATCAAATCATTTTAAAAAAATATAATTTATTTTTTGTGACAGAATGGAATTTAGTGCCAAAAAACATTATGAAAGCAGGAACTTTAATAACGTGTAAGATAATCGTTTCTCGTTCGTGAATAAAGCTGTTATATTTTTTTCTTGCGTCTATACCATTCATAAAATATTACAAATTTTGGTTTAGATCCTACACAATCAAACATCTATTTATCACATGAAACTTTACAATGCCAAATGTCAATCAATCATGCTGTCTTGAGCAAGTATGTTGTATTGCACTATTATCAATTATCAATTTTCTCTTTTGTAGTTAAAATAGACATCTTAAGACTCTCTGTGCTTCCGTTCATGTCCAAACCTTCCTTAAGTAACATTAAGTTATGACTGGGTTCTGCCGATGCTTCAGAATTGACATCTTTTAATTCCATTAGATAATGATCATCAAGAGATTGCTGTTCTGAGATAATACTGTTACGATGAGAAAAGTTCACCATTTGTTTATCATCCGTTTCTTGTACTTCTTGTAAAGATATGACTTTATGATTCATTTTATGATTCGAATCGTCTTTACACTTGCAAGTTTGAGATACATCCTGATGTATCATTACTTCTTTCAAATCAAACATATGTGGCTCTACCTTGTTCATTTCTTTAGTCGTAGTTTCTAAAGGTGTGTTGTCATCACCAGCTGATTTACTACATATTTCATAATTGTCTAATGCCGATTCTTCTTCAAGGTCAGGCATATCTCCAAACAGTTCAGCAAGAATGTCATCTTCAGATATGTCTGAATTTGTACATGCAGAACGACCTACTCTTTCCAATTCATCTACCATTTGTGTTATGTTGACGACTTCTGCCGACCAATGGTTTTCGTGACCAAGTTTTCGGGCCTCTTTGGCATGAACCATAGCTAAATCTAAATTGCCTTGTTGTTTGTAAAATTCAGACTTAGCAACGTAAAATAACATTTTTCGTCTTTTCTCCATTCCTCGCCATATGTTTGATGTTTCAACAAAATCTATAATCTTTTTAGCTTCTTCGATATCAGCCTTTGAAGTTTTTGATTTTTCTATTTTCTTGCAAAAAAGGCCGACTCCTAGGTAACAAAATATCATCTTGATCAGTAACATCCTCTGATAATCATTTTTAACTTCTTCATTTTCATCAATAAATTGGGCTATACCTTGTTCTGAAGTTTTTAATATATTTGTTTTTAGGTGATCTGAAGGATCCGCTTCGTATTTTTGAGATAATAAGTTAACTTCAATGTAGTAAACCATTCCCGATTCTTTGCAAGGCGAAACATGTTCCGCATGCTCTTTCGCAAATTGAACATATGCCAGTCCGTCATCTACTGAATCCTTCATGGCAATTGCTGAACCATACCTTTAATTGATAATAATACATAATTCTGAATGAAAAATATGGTTAATGTGTCAATTGAATAAATATGTGTTAAAATTTTCAAATAAATATATGTATGTCCGTAATGATACATTAAGAAAGTGTTGCGAAATGGCTTAAGTATTTTGGGGTTATAGAAAGAATGTGCATGAAGTAAGTAATAAATATAACTCCTGTGTTAATCTGACGAAAATCAGAAACAAACAAACCTGGCCAAATATGACATGCTGCTGACTCTTGGGTTACTTGTGAATGGTATGACAGACTCCATGTGTCTGAACATGTCACCCCCGCTCACGGTTTTATCGTATTGTACTCTCTTTGCACTTATTCCAGCTTCTAAAGAGGCGAATCTCATATCCGCAAGTTGCATTCTGTCGGTTACATTTTTAAACATGTTCAGTTTGTTTTCCTTAAACTTCGTATCTATCGCTGTTACCAATTTCTGAAATTTGCCAATGTCGCCGTCGTGAGAAAGTCGTTTTAGTTTATGTGAAAGTGCGGAAATGGCTCTTCTTCTTTTTGTAAATACGTTGATTTTTCTTACAGGTTCATATATAACTTCATTCTTAGATTCCTGTCTATAAACAGATTTGTTTCTTGTTTCAGCAAATGTTTGTTCTAGTTGATCAGCTAGAAATGAGTATACATCATTGTATCTTAAGGCTTGCAAGAAACCATCGAATGTACAGTTACTTCCTGGTCGCATTATGGTCCGTAACAGTTTTCTACACTTAGTGGCACGTGCTTCATTCAGCTGTTCAAACTCTTCATATTCTTCAAATGTTATCATTTTGTTTTGAAACAGATGAGGCAAAATCTCTTTTACGTCTAAATCTTCAACGACTGTCAAATGTAACCTCTGTAGCACTTCCTTTTCCTCGGCGTTCATTTTAACACTGACTATCTCAACCTAGAATGTAACCTTCAATATTCCAATGCAGAGTTATTTTTTAAGTGAACCCTTATAATGGTATAAAGAACACAAGCAAACTGTCTGATAGTTTTCCCGCTCATACATTTATAAGGTTTTAAAAACATGTTTAAATGAAGACAAATATTAAATAACTTAGATTCCTTTCATATGCAACGGCTGCATTACACTGTTTAAAATCGGAAATGGGAGTCGACGATATGTTTTGCCTGTTTGGCTGTAAGCCAAATCTGAAAAAATAAAGACAAATGGTTATAAATAATATTGGATTACAAAACATTGTATGTACATGTGCATATATTTGTAAACATTAAGTAGCCTTTAAAAATGTGTTTACTGCATGACCGGTTTCAATTATCAAAAGAAAGAAAAGCTATACACATTAATTATGAAAGTAATCTTTTACAGTTTATCATTAATTACTAAATTGATGAAGGATGTATTCATTATAATAAATGTTCTTACACTGATTTGAGTCAGATTTCTTGGTCTGTCGATCTCCACCAGTCCTTCATTTTACTGCAGAAATGTTCTTTTTTTCATCGATGCAATTTCCAAAATTTCGAGGGTTTTCCTGTTTTTCTAAAAATATCGTTGATTTTCCTGGAACGTTAGATTTCCCATTATCTATTTCAATTTACGTTATTACACACATATATTTACTATCTCTGTAACGAATACACTGTAATCAACAAAAAAGCGTCTGCTCTCAGTTTATAATACATTTATGTACGCGAGACAATTAAGCAAGATAAATATCGAATAAAATGTTTATATTTTGTTTGTTTTGATTATATCAGTGAATACATCTCGATTGTGGGAATTATTGTATGAATAATACATCCTTTCCTTCTTATGATAAGGTTACTCATGATAAGCAAATCATACAGGACATAATTTATTACGCTCCTATATCCTAGAATATATGGAAAAATAGATTGATGTATGGTGGCTTATTTGGAGCACTTTTGTTGTCGGACTTTTGTCTTGTCGTCCTGTCGCTAACGATGCATGCCAAACGGCGCGTTGTCACGCGGCGTGTTGTCGCGATGTCACATATATTGTTGTCGCTATCGACAACAGAACGCGCAAAGTGTACAAAATTAGCCACAATAATTTTACCTTTTCTTGTTGTTGTTGTTGTTGTTAATCTTCACCGCCTATATAGGCGAATCTCTGTGTAACTAATAATCCCTACCTATGTACAGCTGCAGTTATATTCACAGTCACTCCAACACAGTAGATATATCATATAGAATCTACAATCTATGTACACTGATACTGTAATAATATACTCATGTATGTTGCACCACCGTGTTGATTACCTCGCCACTGCTCATTGTCCTCTTAGGCTTGAGCAACAGTAACGACTTGTATCTTGCTGAATGAAAAGGTAGTTAAGACGTCGGCAATGATATTCAAGTTTACGTAGATTTTTTGGATATTTGTGCAGTGTAGAATAATTCCAATTTGAAGAAAGGTCATTAAAGTTTTCTCCAGTTAATATTGTGTACTCTTCACACAGTAATAATTTACGCTAGGGTTCAAGGATTTCACAGTTAAATAAGAAGTGTTCGATATCTTCTGATTCTCTATTGCATAGCTGACACATTGGGTTCACTGTATTTTTATTAAATACGTTTTATAAATTTGTAGTATATATTTTGATGTAAGTAGCTTTAACTTGATAGGAAGTCTATTTATTTCACGAACAGAGCGAGTTCCCATTTGTTGCAATATTCGGATGGACTTTTCCAGGAGTGTATTCTATATTCATGAATTGCAATGTTTTATGCAATTTTGCTATACCAATTACTTTCACTATAAACTGGGAAGAGACAGTTTTGAATACTGTTTTTTTTTCCATACGCTTTGTTTTAGAGGATGACCAAGGTTGTGGTTACTGTCACCAAGTTCGTATTTCCAAAATAGCTTCTTAATTAACTTCAATGAACCAAATGGAACTATTCATACTTTTAACTATTAATTGTCTTCTAGCAAGTTTTTTCTCGATACTGTTTTCATTCTGATGACATATATTATTGAAGAAGTTCAAGATTTTTATGCGTAATTGTTCCTCGACTGGTAGAAAGCCTCAGAGTAAATATGGAGCAGGATCTGCAACAGTTTGCGGAGCGATAATATTTGTTTAAATAGTTTCTTTTGAAAAAGTTCCATTCCAATTGTAATATATACTTTTGTGGTGGGATTATAACCTCTAATCCATATACATGTAATAAGACTGGAGATACATAAGTTCTTATCAGATGTAACGATGTTTCAGGATCAAGACGATTTTCAACATGTAATCCAGCAGAAAGTAGATTCTTGCTTTTTTGAGATTCTCATTGACATTAAGTGTGATTGTTTCTTTTGTCGATGTGGCTCGTTGAATTCAAAGATGTGTTGCTTTATTTTCAATTGGCATTACCATTTCACCCATACGAAAAGAAATTGTGTTTTTGTGTTTGCCTATTTCTAAAATAGCACTCTTTGCAGGTTGTGCATCTTCAGGAATTGCACTATCAAATGTAACGTCATCAGCACAGGCAGTAGCGGGACATGCTACGTACCATAGAGAATCAATATATATATATCTTATATAAATCGGCACTTAACACATCGCCTTGCTTAATACCTTGTTGTATAGAAAATGTGTCAAATATGTAGTTATTCCATTTGATGGATGCTGTAGCGTTTGAGTGTAAACTATTTATTAGAGACCATTATATTGTTCATCCTTAATGCCAATATGATACAATCTTCTTATTGAATGTTCATGATTCACAACTTGATTATGCACATAGGGGTTTTAGTGTCTTTAGCTTGACTGTAACATTCTTCAAGTACTAAGGCTGCATTTAGTGGAGATGCTCCGGCAGTGAACCCTCTTTGTAAAACACTTTGATTGTCATCTATAATTGCTTGTATTCTAGATTTGAGTATAGATTCAATCAGTTTACATATTACTGGCAGTACGGTGATCCCTCTGTATTGCTTTGAGTCATTTTTTAACCTTTATTCTTAAAAATAGGTGTTAATATCCCGATTTTCAGTGTATCTGGAACCTTCCCTTTTTGAAAGATTGAGTTTATTTCAATACTATATAGAAGATTAAGCATATTTTCACTACTAGCATTGTCTATATGTTCAATAGTTATATCATAGATATCAGCTGATTTACCTTTGTTTATAGAGTTCGCTGCTTTCAAAAGTTCATCTTTTGATACCGGTTGAATTTTATGACCAGGATATATATATATATATAGGATTGTATATATTCATTTTCAGTTTTAAATATTTCAGATTTTACTATTTCATGAAAATCGTTAAAAAAAACTGATTATCACAACCAGATGAAACCATCAATAATATCTACTCGTCGCCATAAAAAAAGTCATTACCAACATGTAGGTCAAGAATGAATGTTATTATCATTTTTCTCTGTTTAAGTATTAGTTTATGAAATAATTTTGTATCATGCACTGAAAATTCATGAAATTGGTTTGTAAATTTATTTTATTTTATTCAAGTTTATACTATTTAGTGGTATTCAACCTTTCTGTGCTCATTTGTTATGACGTGCGGATTTTTCTAGTGCTAACTTCGCGCGGGAAAATAATTATGTAAACAGGCAAAGAAAGCTGCAAATAAACTGCTCATATAGGTCTGATACACAAGTAGTAAATTATGGTAGAAGGACCTGGATGCAAATTAAAGGGGTTGAAGATAAAAGGCAGACTGAAGGGACAAACAGTGGTGAATGTGAAAGGAAATGCGACGGAGAAGGTGAAGCCCGAATTGATTCAACGTTTTCCTTCATCAGTTCATTACATCTTCACATTTAGTATTTTAGTGCACTCTGTGTCAAGTAGAAGGTTGATGCAGCAGTTCATATATAAATCGTTGATAGTATCAAAATGTAGCACAATTATTGGCACAGTGTTGCGTCTAGAATTTCAAAATGATGGGGAATTGTCCCCCACTCAACTGAATAATGTGGGGAATTTGAAAAAAATGTGGGGGACAAGCATTTACCAACAATATGATCATTTTAAAATTGTATTTTGTTGTAAAACAAACAGAAAACAACGACTGACTTACTAAAAAAATTCATTAATTTAACATTTAGTCATTTTTGCAATCGTCTGCTCAAGAACAGAAATATAAATAAAAAATAAGATATTGGCGAATACTAGTTAAGTGCACAGGTCAACTGTCAATGCACACATGAGATGATCCGACCGGCTGCTACTAGCTATTTTGTTTGTATTTTAGTCATTATTAGGAGTGAAAACAAACATGGCAGAAGCGTTCAAAATACAATTAAGATTAACTAAGTTGAAAAGATCGTTTGGCGCACATTGACTTCATTAAATTGCGCGATCTGCAAAAAATATGCGCGAATTGTGCAATCTCGTGGCCTAGATGCAACACTGTTGGCTTAAAATATTAGAAACATACTTTATGTAATGAAAACCTCGGACATAATAATTAATATGTTATTGTATGTCTCAGTTTAAACACTGCCTTGAATGTACGTACGTATGCAGTGTGTTATGAGGGTCCATCTGCCCGTTAAGGCACAAAAAGCAGCTTTTGCTGTTGAGTACAGACCCTGGACATGTCACCAGTCATGCCCTTACAGGCTTCGCGAAACTGCTGAAAAATTTGCCTGACATTCGGTCAGACAAACTTTCAATTCTTGTCTGACCGAAAGAACTTTTGTCTGACCGAATTTTTTCCCCCAAATATATGTATATGGTAATACCTTGGTGTTTTTTTTTAAAGACATAACAACTTTTAAAGATTTGCAACACAATTTTATTCCCTTAAATAAAACATTAGTTTATCCAGATTGATGGACTCACAGGCGCTAGTCACATATATTCAAATATTTTACATAACCAGTCTATATATGTATATAAAGATATATAGTATATAGCCCATATAAAACTTTAAAAAGTTTGTTTCAAGCACCTGTGGATGGACTCTGTTTGGAAATCAAAACATTCATGATCAAAGCAGCCATTTTTCCATTTACCCACAAATTTTCTCGGCGGGCGCCTGGACTCGTATTCCTTTTGTTTCGCTTTTTTTTCTTCATTGGATAGTTTACGATTTTTGCCGGGCCTAGCGCCAGCGTAATAATGTAGTAACACCGACATTATGGTTATTGAACAGAACAGTTTATTTGAAAATGCTGGGCCTCATAGAGGCATCAGTCACATATACAATAATATATACATATAGTATGACATATAAAGAGATATCCACGAAATATGCTGATGTATTACATGGCAAATATAAATCAAAAATGAAAGTGTTACATTATGAAAATAAGCTTAGTTATCAGTTACTTAAATGCTGAAATAATTTTTTTACAGAATACTGCAAGTTTTAACAATATACTCCTATCTGTGCTATTCATTAACATAGAAAACTTGATTGAATTAACATTTGTACTATACTCTCTAGTAATATATTTTTTTCTATCAGTATTAAAGAATTGACAATTAAATAAATAATGATATTCATCACCAAGTGAGCTATTATTGCATAAATTACACACTCTTAATTCTCTTGGTATATTACAAAATCTACCAGACTCAATAGGCATTTTATGGTTCATACATCTAAAGCGCAATAGTACCAAAGCTAAATGAGATGGTAAAATATCTAAAAACTTTTCAAATCTGAATTCACTTTTGTACATTCTATAATTCAGACATTTACTCGATTGTGACATTTCACTATGCCAATTTTGAATGAACTGATCTTTCAGTCTATTTTTAACAATTTTCTTAAACAATGGAAGAGAAGTGGCAACATTATTAATCCAAAAATTTGATAAACCCAGTGAATCTAGTAATTTACAAACACTATTCATCCATGGGAGTTTCAACACATTTCTACAATACAAAGAGTGTGACATATCATACAATATATGGCTTATTGATTCCTGTTTGCTACTTAAAATCTTATTCCAAAAGCACAAAACTCTACTTTTTATATGAATAGATAAAGGTAATATCCCTAAATCGCCATAAAGCATACAATTTGGAGTACTTTGTTTTCAAATTTAATATGAGTTTATAAAATTTTAATTGAAATCTATCAATGATATTCACATTTTCAATTCCCCACACTTGACTTCGCTACCATATAACAATATAGGTGCTACCATGCTATCAAATAAATGAATTTGCATACTGATAGGCAAATCCAATTTTCTAGCCTTAACTATAATTGAAAACATAGCCTTCCTTGCCTGTTCTAATAAATGATTCTTTGTTTTAGCAAATTTACCATTATAAGAGAACTTAACACCCAGATATGAAAAATCATCAACAATTTCTAGCAAATTACCTTCAAAACTAAAGGCTGGAATATTACATAAACCTCTTTTACTTTTACAAAAAACAACAATTTTAGTTTTACTAGGATTAACTTGTAAATGCCATAATTGACAATAATTTGACATTGCATCTAGTGCTTTTTGCAGTTCTTCAGCAGATTCAGCAAATATGACAGTGTCATCAGCATATAAAAGAATATACAATTTAAAATACATTTCAACATCAGAATCACTCAGGGTATCATTTACAATGTTTGATAGTAGATCCAGACCATTAAAATGTTGTGACAGGAAATAGTTGACAGTCGTATGTATCGGACACTTATAATGAAACGGCGAATCAAAACTCGTTTTACATTTTTTTATTCAAGGGAGAAAACTCGGTCTTGATTGGTCTTGGATATATCCCGGTATTCGTACCGGACATAAGGTCCGGAACTCCGGAAAAAAATATCGGACCGGCCTGATTTTTGCCGGACATATGACCGACGGTCCGGCAACTTTCGCGAAGCCTGCCCTTAAAGAGTTAATTTTGAAGCACAAAGTGGTGATAAATTACCTCCATGCAATTTCCATGGAGTATTAGCCAAAGATAAGAATTTTGAGCCAAAAGCAAGTCACTGTACGGTTGTCAATGAGAACCTAAATGTACAGTAACCCGAGACAATAATTTATAAGGGCTGCTGGTGACAAGCGAAGGTCCAGCCTTTCAAGCAGTCTTATCTGAGCTAGGGGCTCATGCACCACACCATCTTCTGTGAAAATTGTTTTACTAAAGTGGGGATGAATGTTACCATGGTCTATCCTGTCATTAATAACCATTTGTTTAAATTTAAATAATATGGCTACAGAAAATATATTTTGACTTTAGGCTTTCCTATAAATTTAAATAATATGGCTACAGAAAATACATTTTGACAGTATTTCTTATGAAATTTTGTGTAAACTAAGAAAATTACTTTGATTTCAAATAGCATATTTTAATGTTTATATATTACAGTATAAGAAGAAGGGAACAGATGGGTTATCACCATTTCACCAACTTATCGGCAGATCACTTGATGGTGTTCAAACTCTCGGAAAAGAACTCTTCATGTACTTTGGTGATCTATGTCTCCGGTAATGATAAATAATTGATACTTTTTGTTTAAAGCTGCACACCTCAAGATGAGCCCAAATATTTCAAGAAATTTAATCTTTTAAAAAATGTATCAAGATCTTAAGAAAAGTTTAAAAGATTCAATAGTTAATTAATTATTTACACGTTATGTGCGATTAATTACTGATTTTGCAGTTTCAATCACTATTATTCTACTGCGTTACTAACACAGTAAGAGGTATTTATGTATATTTTGACCTCTTAGTACTGAACATGAATTGAAAGTGCTGTTTGCAATGTGAAAGTTACTTTCTTTGCTTACTTCACAATATTTTATTTTAAATACATTTTCTAAATTTTCATGAAAATTAGCATGAATCTTGAAGCATGCTTCTTTAAAATTTGAATATTTCACATACAAAGTTTTGATAAGAGTGTATTTAAACAAGTATGTCTCGTGTAAAACAGGGTTCTAGCCAGGAATTTCTATGAGGGTGACTGGTCATATTGTAATAGAATGGTAGTTGAGCTTATATCTTACATAGGTAGTTTGTAAAGTAGCCTAGATGTTTGGCATTAATGCATATCTTGTATGATTTTAAAATATTTTACAGTTTATTTTATTTTGAATGCTAACTTTAACAGTTTGATTTCAATCGCAAGCTGTCATTTGAAAACACAAGAGAAGTTTGTATAAAATTGTAATAATAACCATTTTTTGTGTCGCCTCTACAGAGTAGTGGCGACATATAGGGATCACTTCTCCGTTGTCTGTCTGTCCGTCCGTCAAAAACTTGTCCGGACTACTCCTCATAAACTACTGGTGCAATTTCATCCAAACTTTACAGGAATGATCAGTACCAAGTGTAGTTGTGCATATTGTCAGCATTTTCTGGTTCAATGATTTTTGTCAGAGTTATGGCCCTTTAATAATTTTTACTTTTAAAGTTTGTCCGGTCTACTTCTCGTATACCACTAATGCAATTTCAATGAAACTTTACAGGATTGATCTGTAGCTCAATTCCTTGCGCATATTGCACGGGTTTTCCGGTTGAATGATTTTTGGCCGAGTTATGGCCCTTTGATAAAAGGTGTTTTTTTTTCAGTGTGTTGCCAGATACACAAAAGCTTGTCCGGACTACTCCTCATAAACTACTGGTGCAATTTTATCCAAACTTTACAGGAATGATCAGTACCAAGTCTAGTTGTGCACTGTCCATCTGTCACAAAACTTGTCCCAGCATGAAATTGGCCATCATGAGGCGACACATGTGATCACTGATCGCTCTTGTCTTTACACAAAAAGGGTTCAATATGATTTTAATGTAGGCATTTTTAATTTACATGTACATTGATAATTACTTCTTAAAGATACTATAAAATGAAATGATTTTTTTCTATAGAAGCTTAAAATTGAAAAGAAAGACAACTCTTTTCTGTTCAAATTGCATAAAATTGCAAGATTTACCTCCCATGTATTGTTACAATTTTACCATATGTGATTAAATAATTTAATTTTGTATGAATATTGTAGAGTACATTTTCTGATGGCTGGTCAGTCATTTATCAATAATGAGAAAGTGGATAATGACCTAGGGGGGAATGCGGACACGGCCAGTCTTGAGCTACAGATGTCAAAAGATCTTGTGTTGTTCAAAAAATCCTCTGTAGATATCAGGTTGGTTTTACATTTTAAATGACAAGATAATTTCTTCTTCTTCCTCTGCAACAGGAAGTCAACACAAATACTTTAAAAGTATTAATTCTTATGCAAAACTGACATGTCTTCTTCCTCCTGGCTCAATATGCTATAGAATTTAGAAAGTAACCACAAATACTTTATATATGTAAAAATGAACCAAAAAAAACCACCTGAAATAATATAATGAATAGTAAGTTTTTTGGTGTTATTTTGTAAGTTTTTTGTGTTATTTTTCAGAAGTTACTAATAAATGAGCTGTTATATGATTATATAACTTATACTTAGGTTGTAATTTAAGCAATTTTAGATTCTGACCAAAAAGGACTGTATCTTTGATACTGTGGTATATATTTTTTTCTAGGTCTTCAGAGGCATGCAAACAGAAGTATGATGAGTTGAATGACCTTGATATATGTTCACCTGTATTTAACTTTCCTCGTGCAGTAGCACTGGTGAAGGAACAACAAGATAGACTTGTCTGTGATGTTCTGCTGGATCAATTAATTCTACCAGGTGTCGGCAACATCATAAAAAATGAGGTATTGCCAACATTTACAACTTCCTTGTACCTCAACATGGAATATAGGCCTTTATATATTTGTCACTTGCCTCTTAAAGCTGGGGCTTTGGGGACTGCAACCCCTGGAAGGATAATCCTAACCCTTTGCATGGGCTATGGACTACAGACCTGTTTGATCCAGTTGTTATAGATTATGGCTTCAATCATTAGCAATTGAAACTTTGGATGGATGACTGCAACCCCACTTAGGATGATTAATTTGTTATGTAAAGGGCCATCTACTTTGTTTACAGAACGCCAGTGGTTCATTTACTATGCCTTTTTGTGCCTGAAATAATTGCTAGGAGGAAAAGTGTCTTAGTAACACGAATTCACCTAATAAACAAACAAAAAACATTTTCTGCTAACTGCAGTAGTTTTTATAGAAATTTACATTTTTTGATGGCGGCTGTGTTAATTTTTGTTAAAGAAATTAATTAGATTAATGCATAAGAACTCTGAAGTGAAATACCATTATAAATTTATAATATTGTATAAAATGAAAAAGTGTGCATCTTCTTAACTTACTGCATTAGGATGTCACGTCCGGATAAACAAGTTTTATAAACAGAGAAAGATTAAATAATAAAAATTACTTTCTCAAATTTGAAGAAATTATGTGACTTTAACTAAGTGACAACAACAAATGTAGGTTTTGTTTATGAATTCTATGCTCTATTTATAGGCTCTATTTGACAGTGGAATAAAACCTAGTTCAAAGATATCAGAGTTGAAGGATGAACATGTCTCTCATCTTATCAAGATGACCAGAGACTTTACAAATATATTTTACCAGGTCAGTGACTTTAACATCATCACAATGTTGTATTATATTTCCTGCACCTTCAGGATCAATTGGTTTTGAGGTTCAAATATCAGTAAAGCTGGTGCTAGCAATGCGAAATTTATATGTTTCTCATGAACTAAAGCCTAGCTTACAAAACATTTGAAGTTCTACTACTGTTCACGTTTGGACTTCAACTTGTTCAAGTAATGAACAAAGGAGCACCTGAGCTCTTCTACCACCAGTAAAGCTGGAAAGTTGCTGTGTAACCTTAACAGTGTGTGTGTGAGTTAAAATCGAGCAAAACTAGCAAACACAAAATTATGACATAGAGGTTTATTTGGTATTATGAAATAAACCACGGCTTGGGAGTGTAATAAAGCTATTTAATAAAAACTATATTACACTAGTGTAATAACACTTTGGCATGACGTCATTTGTGTTACATACAAACATAACGTTAAAGTGTGCTAATGTTAGCGTTACACTATAGGCGCGTCAATTAAAAATGGCTCTTTTTAATAGTTTAGCGTTCTTATTTATATTATGTGATAAACGGACTATTATATTCATGTAGATTCCTTACTAAATTTATTGAACTCATTAAATAAACAATATTATGCTCACCAAAATTAAGTATTAAATCTACACTCATTTGATATCCTCTATATAAACACTAGTGTAATATTTCAGTGTAGAAGAGATGGTAAACCACTACATGTACATTATAAGATCTATGGCAAGAAGAGATGTAAGCAATGTGAGGGCAAGGTTACTATATGTCGTCTAGGTAACGACAATGACAGGGTCACCTACTTCTGTGAGGGTTGTCAGACAAATGATCTCAAAAATAAAACAAGGTGAGTACTAGAATTCATAAAACAACAAAAATTTCTCAGACAGACTCTTCAAACAATATCATATACAAATTCAGACTGGGATAAAGCTTGAGTTGACATAGTTTAGTTTACGTTTAGTTGAAACATATTTATTCAAGCTTGATTGTGCTAGTTTGCTTCCTCGAACTCTGGAACTAACCAGTACTGGTATCATGTGAGAAGTCTTGGTCTTACCATAGTAGGGCTTGAACATGTGCAACCTATATCACTATGGTTACCCTTAGATCACTAAATAAAGGCAATGCAAAACCTTTGCTATTTGATAAGACTTAATATTAGATAAAACAAGATCTAACATTTAATAGTGATCATTTGATTATTATGTAAAATAAGAGGAGTAACATTATTTTTAGCTCACCTGTCACAAAGTGACAGGGTGAGCTTTTGTGATCGCTTTTCGTCCGGCGTCCGTCCGTCCGGCGTCCGTCCGTAAACTTTTGCTTTAAATGACATCTCCTCATAAACCACTGAGCCAATTTCATCCAAACTTCACAGGAATGTTCCTTTGGTGGTCACCTTTAAAAATTGTTCAAAGAATTTAATTCCATGCAGAACTCTGGTTGCCATGGCAACCAAAAGAAAAAACTTTAAATATCTTCTTTTAAAAAACCATAAGAGCTAGAGCTTAGATATTTGGCATGAAACATCTTCTTGTGAGTGTCTACCAAGTTTGTTCAAATAAAAGCCCTGGGGCCAAAATTGGCCCCGCCCCTGGGGGTCATTTATTTTCCCTATATGCATATAGTAAAAACTTAAAAAATCTTCTTTTAAAGAACCGTAAGAGCTAGAGCTTAGATATTTGGCATGAAACATCTTCTAGTGAATGTCTACCAAGTTTGTTCAAATAAAAGCCCTGGGGTCAAAATTGGCCCCGACCCAGGGGGTCATTGATTTTCCCTATATGCATATAGTAAAAACTTAAAAAATCTTCTTTTGAAAAACCCAAAGAGCTAGAGCTAAGATATTAAGCATGAAACATCTTCTAGTGAGTGTCTACCAAGTTTGTTCAAATTAAAGCCCTGGGGTCAAAATTGGCCCCGCCCCGGGGGTCATTGATTTTCCCTATATGCATATAGTAAAAACTTAAAAAATCTTCTTTTAAAGAACCATAAGAGCTAGAGCTTAGATATTTGGCATGAAACATCTTCTAGTGAATGTCTACCAAGTTTGTTCAAATTAAAGCCCTGGGGTCAAAATTGACCCCGCCCCAGGGGGTCATAGATTTTCCCTATATGCATATAGTAAAAACTTAAAAAATTTTCTTTTAAAGAACCCAAAGAGCTAGAGCTAAGATATTAAGCATGAAACATCTTCTAGTGAGTGTCTACCAAGTTTGTTCAAATTAAAGCCCTGGCTCAAAATTGGCCCCGCCCCGGGGGTCATTGATTTTCCCTATATGCATATGGTAAAAACTTAAAAAATCTTCTTTTAAAGAACCCAAAGAGCTAGAGCTAAGATATTTAGCATGAAACATCTTCTAATGAGTGTCTACCAAGTTTGTTCAAATAAAAGCTTTGGGGTCAAAATTGGCCCGCCCCAGGGGGTCATTGATTTTCCCTATATGCATATAGTAAAAACTTAAAAAATCTTCTTTTAAAGAACTCAAAGAGCTAGAGCTAAGATATTTAGCATGAAACATGTTCTAATGGGTGTCTACCAAGTATGTTCAAATAAAAGCCCTGGGGTCAAAACTGGCCCCGCCCGGGGGGGGTCATTGATTTTCCTTATATGTGTATAGCAAAAACTTAAAAATCTTCTTTGGAAAAACCCAAATAGCTAGAGTTTAGATATTAAGCATGAAACATCTTTAAGTAAATATCTACAAAGTTTGTTAAAATAAATGCCCGGGGGTCAAAACTGGCCCTGCCCCAGGGGTGACATTGTTTTTAACTATATGTGTATAGTAAAAACTTTAAAAATCTTCTTTTAAAAAAGCCAATGAGCTAGAACTTAGATGTTTAGCATGAAACATCTTCTTATGGGTGTCTACCAAGTCTGTTCAAATAAACAAATAAAAGCCCTTGGGTAAAAATTGGCCCGGGGATGGGGGGCCTATATACAGGTGAGCGACCTCAGGGCCATCATGGCCCTCTTGTTCTGTATATGCTTAGATATTATTTTCAATTAGTGTTTTAAATTATTTTTTGTCCAATAGGATTGCAGCATTTCAAATGAATTGTAACACATTTACTTTGGTAAATTGGCAAACTGTTAATCAGTCTAGTAAATTGACTGTTTATAAAGATAATTTAAAACACTAAGCTGGTTAAAAATTTTAATATGTATTAATTAAATTGGTCTTACATCTGTGCTGCGCCTGACTAATTTAATTTTGTAAATATGTACTAATAAACTTTAACCTATACTTAAATGTGATATATTTTGCTTGTTTCAGAAAGTTACCTATGAAAGGCAGTCTTCTAGGTTGGGTTAAGACAGGAAATGAGGCTACTACAACAACAACAACAGTTATAGCAGACTGGTCATGTGACAGTTGTACATTTATCAACAAATCCACGTCTACAGCATGTAGTATATGCCTCACTCCGAAACATAAACCACCATCATTATCTGTTGCTCATATTGAAGAGTCTGATGATTGTATGATATTAGAAGAAAACTGTGAGCCTGTTACTAGTGTTAATGCCAATAGAAAGAAAAGATTGTCAACTGGGAATTTGGATGTAGAACAGCCATTTAAAACCAGAAAACTGGAACAAAATAGTGTTGATGAGAATAACTCTAGGTCCAAAGTGACAAAGGACCAATCAAAATCAAGTTTACATGCCAAAACACATATTGGACTGAGGGATAAACTTAACCAATCAAATGGTACCGGACAAGTTAAATCAGAGTCAAACAGCCAATCACAGCCAGTGTCTCATAAGAGTAACAGTGATAGGATTTCCTCATGTAAAACTCATAAAAGAAAGTGTAGTATGAAAGAAGTGAGGAAAAAGGGAGACAACTTGGGAAGATGGTTCTTCTCGTGTCCAGTTAGAACATGCAATTACTTTGAGGTAATTATGTTAAGATGAGGTACTTTTATTAAAGAGTTTATGTATATTATTGCAGTATAATATCTTTGGTTAAATTTTATTTGTTTCTTACATATATGTCATATATTACAACTCCCCTTATAGTGTCAGTTTTAGAATGTATTCTTTTGGGTTCGCTTTTTTCAAATATAACTATCTAAAGCTGCAAACAAGATTTTGTAGTTATTTTCACAAGAATGATTATGACCGTCTATTATTGATACAGTCATATTGAAAAATAAGTACCACAGGTTTACATGGCAGCTTTGTAAATATAGTAGTGTTCTGATGATTTTGAAAGCATGTGTATTAATTATAACAATTTTGTTGGCAAATCAGTTTCAGTGTAAAACTAACAAGATATTTAGTTTTCATCCACACAGAGTTCATTTACATGATTAAACTATTGATGTTTCATTTGCTAAGCAATTTCATTAGCTGAAGATACCTGTCATTAAAACAATTGTGTTTGTTCAAAGTTTATTAAAAGGTGCATCTGTCATTTAAGGTACTGAAAGTATAAAATCCAAAAACACAATTGCAATACCTTTGGCCTTTTAATGATTGCCAAGGTATTCAAATGAATGTCAATTTGCAGAGGTTACTTCCCTTTATCTGTACAGTACATGAAACTTCATGCAAAATATTTTACTATAAAATCAATAAAGCATTCGTGATTCTAAAAAGTGATTTTATAATTGAATGTGATTTAAGTGTTATTCTCAAGCAAACATGAAATATTTGTTCAACCCTTGCCATGCTGAATTTGTGTACTTGTGAAGTGGTCCTACACTTCTCATAAAGCTATTTAGCATTTCAGTATAATAATTATACAGTTGTAAAGTCGACAATCTAGAGCCAGGTTAGACTGGGGTTGTGGAAGTTAACTTGACTTGTAAATTGTTAAAATTCACATGTGAAAATCTAAACTGTTAAAAAGAAATTGTTAAATATTAAAGGCCCATCTTGCCCAAGAAATGCTTTTATTTTCATTTCTCAAAAGCTTTGTATATTTCTTGACCTGTTATATTTTCCAAAAAGTTATACTCATTGGTTAATTACATGTACCTGAACCACCTTTTACTTCAGTTGCCTATTGGCAATAAGTACAGTTATAATGACTTAGTATTTTTTATGGAGGTCGAAATACTATTTTGTTTACGTTTCACTACTTGTATAACAAATAATTTCTCATTCAGCACTACTTTCTTCAGGTGATGAGCATCTAACATGCTCTTTAACTATCATTTAAATGTTATAAAACTCATGTTTATCCCTTACAAATGAAAGAAAAAATATATTCATTTCTGAGGTATAATGGACCTTTAAGTGTATAACATTTTAAATATTTTTGTCTGTATTACAGTGGGCAGATGAGAAGTTCCCGTTGTGTCCTGGCCATGGTAAACCCTGTACAATACGTATTGTGATGAAGATAGGACCAAATAATGGCAGAAAATTCTTCGCTTGCAAGATGCCAAAAAACAAACAGTGCAAGTTCTTTGAATGGGCTGAAGGTTTTGATTAACACGGACATTTTGAAGAAATCATTCTGGTTTTTGGAAAGTTTATTCTAGACTGTGTGATGTTAGTGACTAGGTGCTAATATTTTATATTGATATTAAAACTGAGTTAAAAGACATAGAGATTAACTGTGATTTACTATTTTGATACGGATAATAACAGTAAAAGCAACAGTTTTATATTTTAGTTTAATATAGTCAGGCATGCCTTATAAATGTTATTACAAACGTGTTCCTTATATAATATTGTTGTCTTGTTTTCTGCTGGTATTTTGGAGATCAGTGTGGAATTACTCTGGTTCTTTTGTCACATGACCTGAGGTTCCTTGGTTCAGTGGTTCCAGTATTTAAGTTTCAGCCACTTGCCACTGATTCTAGACTTATTTTCACGAGCAAGGTACATGTTGATGATATATTTTTTGTAGGGAAAGTAGGGAAGCATTCCTTCATATAAGACAGCTTCAAATTTTGTTAAAGTCAGTTTTCCTATCAAATGTCTACTCATCCAAAAATATTTTGAATGGCCTTTAATCTTTCTCCCTTGATTAAAAACAGATCTATAATTCCAGTATTAAGTTAGGGTCAATGTTTCAGATGCAATTGCTGATAACCCTTAAAATTTAAAGACTCAAACTAAAATAAAGGTTTAGTGGTGGCCTGGTTGTTGAAGTGTCTTGCTCTACTCCCAGATTCATGGGTTGGAGTCCTAGGGTGTCCATGACTACATGTGACACAGGACACTCGTACTGGTTACACCTTTAGGAGGGAGTCAAGAATGATCTGAATATCCTACAAGCTTAAATGCTCTCATCACAAATTGAAAGTTTTTAAAGTAAATGAATAGGACATGTCATTTAAAAAAAAAGAACAATAAGTATTTACAACACTCCAAACATGACCTGTTGAAAATACTTAACCATCTTTAAGCACTTAGTGTCATCAACATGTCACTGGGTCAATATATCTACTCTGTATTTATTAAAAACAACAATGCTTATTGAAATAAAGTTCATGGTATGATTAAAGTAAATATAAATATCTGGCTACATGTACTATACAATATAAAGTGGATTGTTATTGCATGAAGATGTAATCAATTTCAGCCTCAGATAGTCGCTTGGATAATCTTCAAATGAACAGGGCGTAGCAGACATGACCTAATACTGAATAAAATAATATTGTTGGTTGATTTAGGATTTAGATTGTTTGTGTCGTAGTCTAAAAGCTTACAGACTTGCTCTTTCGCCAACCAGTACTAAGAAATAAGTGAAGAAACAACATCTTGCATTGCCCTTGACGGTGTGAACCAACTCGGCCGGCAATTGTGAAATAACTACATGATTGTAATAGTATTTTTAAGGTTGCTAACGCGTTAAACACTCGGCTACGCATTCAAAAATAATACTGTCATCTCACGTTTATACATGTACGTATGTTGCCTCGCCTTTGCGGTGCTCTTGTATTTTTAGCCTTTTTAAAGATGGGGATGTAAAATTGAATGCAGAGCTGAAGGGATTCGTTTCCATCTGACTGTGCCACAATGTAATAATAATTGCTTTTCTTGGTTAAACATGCCCATATAGAACATGTAGAATAATGAGCAAGAAAATTTAGTGAGACGCCCACTGGTTTGAATGGACTGATCTGCACATGCGAAAAACAATGTAAAAAAAACAAATTTACAATATTATTATATTATATTTTGGCATGTTTTAATTTTATGTTACAATCCTTTTTATTTTTACTTTCATGCGCATCTGAGATAATCATTTTAGTAGAAAGTTAATACATCAGGGTCTTATAAATAGAATTTGAAATGCCCTGATTAACGTGTAAGTAACTGTTTTATTGTCAGCTAATCACAATTTCACATGATTAGAATGAATCAATATAATTATATCAATATCCATAGTAACGGCATCATTACAAGCAACTAGGTGAAAAGCTGAACATTCTTCTATGGTATGTACAATTGTCTGGCTGACGGGATTTGGTGACCTGAATTGGTGCATTTAAGCTCTATTCCGAAACAAGTTAATTCTTGCAACTTATATTAATCACTTTCGAGTCTGCTTCCTGGAACTAACGAGTAACTGTGTTGTATGAGGAATGATGTGACCCCAGTAGGGCTCGGACCTATGGTTCCTGGGTTGAGAGGCAGGCAACCACTAGGCCACCGAACCAATGATGATAGATACATAAAACTTAATCACGATCAAAATACACATTTAAAAGTTTCTCAATTGTATATTCGCATAGATATAAAAATCAAGGGAAAATTAAAGTGGCATTGAAATTCATGAAATTTTAGTGGTGAAAGGTAATTTACAAGATGAGATCGTGTATCTTAGATATGTTGTCCAAATATCCAAGCATTTGTACGTTATTTACATTTTTGTATATAAACCATTTTTAAAGTTAATATCAAAGCAAGATTCGTACGAATAGGATCATTAGATTTTGATCCTGACAATTTCTTAGTAAATTTGGGACCTGCAGACATTTTCACAAAATGTTTCACTTACGGGTTTTGGAACACCTATCGTAAAGATACCACAAGCTTTGCACTTAAGATTTTAAGATAAAAATTGTCGTACTATTTTTTGTGAAAGTATCTGCTGGTTTCCAGTGGCGGGTTACTCCATGGCGACTGTAAAAAAACAAGAACTTGTATTAAACCCTTTTCTATAGCTTCTGTAGATCATTCTAATATTGCAGACAATTAATTTAACATTCTTATTAAGCACTGTCAGTTAATTTTGTATTGTAAATTGTATTCTTCAGAATACTTTTTGTTACTATAATTATCTATAAAAGTGCTCGAGAAAAGTGCATCAATTACATAATTGACTAGTTTGTGTGATATTCTTTCAATTAATCATATCAGGACATTTCCGACATCATGCGAGCTCCTGATGACAAATTCACATTAATATAACTAGCTGATGATTATCAAAAATCTATAGCAACGATCGCACTAAAACACAGCTAAGCAAATATATTAGCCGAGTATGCTAGTCAGTTAGATGGTATAATGTTTGTGAATCAATAAGTTGTTTCTGTAACAAATATTACGAAAACTGCACGCTACGTGCTTTTCTAGCGAGCTAGTAGCAAAATATCGCTCGGAAAACACGTGCTTTGTGGTCGGAGTCGAACCCGAGTACACGTTTTATCGTTTCCCTGATGTCATTTCAATTGATCTTCTGGGTCCCGTACACTTCCCGCTCCAGTATTGGATATCATCTACTAATTCTCAACGGGATGCAGCAAAATAAGAGTTCACTCGGAGTTCTATAACGTATTATGCCAAGTATCGTGTGTTGAATTGCCCTGGTTTCTACTTGTAAGTTTCTGAAATAATTTACCCCTGGGTACTTGTGAAATACCCCCAGCAGTTAAAGTCGGGAGCGACTCCTGACCTATGATTGTCGCCCCCACTATAAATAAAGTCCTTTATATAATACATGTACTACATCATAAAACGTTCAAAACTGTTTACACAAACTGTAATATTAGAAAGTTAAATACATTTAAAATGTTAAAAAATAACATTAAAACCCAAAACAGTTCCATTTTATTTATTTACAATATTTACAAAGTACTTTTAGTAACGTTGCGTAATTTATGACACAAACAGACAGAATAAAGTAACTGTTCCGTATACTTCGTTCGTTTCGTCAACATACTATCTAGTACATGTACCAATCATGTCTTCTGGTTACTAAAAACTTATTCAGTATATTTATTGTAAAATTTTGCTGCGTAAAAAATCCGCTCATAGTTACCACGGTGTTTGTTTTTGTTGATTGGATACATCGAGATATTTGTTATAGCACAAGAATCAGAACATTGTCCGATCATTTACCACCAGTAAATCGGTGTTAATATGTAATGTATGACAAATTCTTGCATGTCTCAATTAAAATTAAAGATGTCCCCACACCTTTTAAGCTGCACGCCTCCATATATGAGCGTGAATATTTCTTGAGCAAAATGCGCCTAGTAAAAAGATTTCAGTAATAATTTACATATCATGTGCGATTAATTACTGATTCTGTAGTATATATCACCATATTTAAGCTATTTTTGCATGATGAGACCTCTTTTTTGTTATTTACGTGGTTTGAAAGTGGCATTTGCACTGTGTAAATTACTTACTTTTTTTACTTAATATTATTTTATTTGTAAATACATTTCAAAATTTTCATTAAAAATTAGTATGAATCTGGGGACATGCTGCTTTAACAAATTTTAACTGCTAAAATACGCCTAGGCCTCCCTTCTCCCCTGCATGCATGGATTATAGGATTATACTTGACACTCGTTTATAGTTTAAAGTGTTTTGAGCAAACATTAATGTAGTTTATGTCATCTGGTAATATATATTACCTTTTATATAACAAAAAGTCAAGAACATACTCGCCTTGTATCTATGATAAATTTCTTTTAATACACAGTTCAATGGTAATTTTTTGTAACTGAATTTACGGTGAGACGATGTATGTATCGGTTATTCAAATGTTTGTCATTTTTTGCAGACAATTTTAGCTAGAGGTACTGTAAAACCTTGGTATGAACGACATCCTAGAACATTCGTTATAGAGGGAATTTTTAGAGGGGATTTAATCATACTAAGGTTTAAAAGTGCATTTTTATTAGACAATACATGTATATAATAATATAGAGCAAATAACCTTGGCACATTGAGTAATATATCTTTTTACCACCGCAAGGACACAAGACAAAAGTTATTGCACAAAAAACATATATTTATATTCAAACTGCCTCCGCAGACTATAAAACATACTCCACTTTGGTTTCTATGACATAACGGGGCTGGAAATATTGTTTCATTTGATGTAGGTCTGGACCCATAATTTATGATTTCAGATCATACATGTATCTGGACAGTTAACTCGGGGCCAAGAATCGTTTATTATCTTATTTTGAGAATATTTCTGTATATAATCCGTTGTATATCTTTCCATTTTAAGTGCCCCAAGATGATCTATGTAAGAAATAGTATGATACGTGCATCTATTTTCAAAAGTTTACCAGTTTGATTTAAGGAAAGGTTGTAAAGATGGCATTTTAACTGATCTACCCAATAAAATCTTAAATTTGCTGCGCATTTCTGCAGTTTATTATGGTGGCTTGCGCGTTGCGTAGTCGATAGCGGCAACACAACCTATACCCATCCTGTCGTCTTGTCGCTAGCGAAACGCGCCAAACGGCGTGT